GCTCTTTTTGCTTGACTTGGCGGGGGCACTGTCGTGCCCCCAGATTCCCGAAATATATAGGTTAATATTTTTTTATCATTTTCTATATATATATATACAGGGTGAAATTGAATGTTTCTATGAAACTTCGTGAGATTGTTGGGTTACGTGTATAGAGTATGCCTGATTTTTTTCGGATTTTTTAAAATAAAATTTTTCGTTTTTTAATTTTTTATTTGGTTATTTTTTTGTCATTTCTTCCTTATGAGTAATTATTCATTTTAAACACGTCTACATAGAAGTTATAAAGCAACTTAAAATAAGCACTACTAAAAAAACGGAAACTTAATGAATGCCTTCATTATGCCTCCAGTCGAGATCAGCGCCGGTCGGGGCGACTGTGTAGGTACCTACTACACGCGCAGATGACTCGGCGCTTACCTACTCTCCGCTTTGATCCACACTATTAAAAAACATTACAATAAAATAGTCTTAGGTGCTATATTATAATTATTTATTCACTGATACACAATACCTTTGAATATTATTTCATAAAGCACAGGTAATTAATCAATAAAAAAAATCTTCCGTTAGAGCAATTAAAAATCCTATAAAGTTAATAGGTATGACTGTCACGATTTTAAATCGGTAAAGCCTGTCTGTTAGTGTAAGAACTTCTTTTTTATTGTTAATGTTAGTTGCCTCGTTTAATTAAAACTTAAGCACAAACGGCTTATTTAAAATTGGGGAAAATCATACAGAGCAAATCGGTATAACTTACGAGCTTAGTGAAGGAAGGAACTCTTCGTGTCTGATTTGCCCACGTCATGAAATTCCCAACACATTTAATCACAGCCACAGTCACACACACACACACACACACATAACAATATGTTGTTTTGCGGCAAGCACGGGCGAGCGGCGCGCCGCACGCTGGCGGTGGTTTGCTTTGATTGCATGCAAAACGCAGTCGCAAGTATATCAATCGCGCGTGGGCGTGGGCATCTTTTGACTTAGTGACATACACTGTGATAATTTCATTATGCCTCGGTATACGAACCAAGAATATTTAGAGATGGTGTACTGCTATCGCGAGTGTGACGAAGTAGGTTTGGTTTACGAATGAGTCCCCAAACCATAGAAGTTGCATTTTGTGTAGTGAGTAGTGATAGGGACACTTTAAAAAAGGTGAAAAGACACGTCCGCAAATATGCCTACCTGTGTTTGCAGCAAAATGGTGGTTTAGATCAACAATTTTGCAGATAATACTTTAAGTCTCTTTTTATTGCTAGTGTAAATACTTTTTGATTAGAAACAACTAATTGTGTACTACCAGTGTGATTGATTTGATAAAAAGTTCTAGTGAAAAAAATGAATATGTTCCTCGTTCCTCGTTGTACCTACCTACATCGCCGGTCTCGTAAGTACTTTTGAATACCTGGTTATAAATTTCATTCTGACCCAAGTATTGAACTGCAATAAGTATTTCTTTTTGTTTAACATTTGCCTATTTCCAATCGTGACAAAATTATTATTAACTTTTAAAGTTTTTCTCTGCTTAAGAGAAGATGACATTTGTGCTTATTATTTCAATTTCAATAAAGGTATCTAAGACGATTTTATTGTATTGTGTGGAATCAAACGAGTCAGCTGAGCTCTGTGTAGAGGTAGGTACCTACTCACTCAACGGCTGGCGGGCGCGGTCGGTCGTTGACTCGCGGTGGAATTTTAATGTTTTTCCGTTTTTTAGAAGTGCTTATTTATTAGTTGTTTTTCATTGGATATGTAAGTTTGTTTGTTTAAAATGAATAACTACTCAAAAGGAGGAAAGGACATAAAAATACACAAATTGTAAATAAATACATGAAAAAAATATACTTCAAAAAAATCCGAAAAAAAACAGGCATACTCTATACACATAACCAAACAATCTCACGAAGTTTCATTGAAACATTCAATTTCACCCTATATATACGCTAGCGAAGCACTCGTTGAAAGCATGGGATTGATCTTTGCCGAAAGCTTGAAATCATTGAGGTTATTTTTCTTATTAATGACACATGATAAAATTATTGACTTTTTAAGCCACTGAGGAAAACATTATCAATAAAACAAATAACTTTAATTGACTGCAGTATATTTTTTCGCTATCCCCATTATATTAAACAAAGAATGGATAAGCTTGGGTCAGTTACGCAGTGTTTTGTGTCGATATACTGCGTTTGATATTATTAAGGGTGTAAAAGCAATTAAATATAGGCAGGTTATCCGATAAAAGGCAGCAAAATCAGTTGGAAAGATTTTTTGCACAGCAATATAATTTGCAAAAATAAACATTGAATTTTGAGCATAAAAATCATAAGTACTAAAACTATAAATAAGCTTTCAGATAGATATTTATAAATGAAACATGTTGTTTTCATTATAAACAAACATTATGTTCATTCATCAAGAACTATTCATTCAAATATCGTTCATTCTTTTAATGCCACATCCCTAATTTTGTGTTGGTGTACGCTCGAACAATTGCATAGTTACATAAAAATTGTTAGCGTGTGTGCGTTTTTTTATTTGTGTGACGTAATTTTTGAAGTGTGCGTTTATAGCAACAACACGCTCGTGTTTGTGGGAGTATTGCATATTTTCATTAGTGTGCTATACGTGTGTACCTCGTCCCGCACCAAAAATGGTGAAAAATTTTGTTCGGCGAGTGAACGCAATGGCACCTCCTGGTATAAATGCTCTAAGTGTATATGTTATGGGCTAATTTAATTTAATTTAATTTAAGTTAGATAGACCCAGCATTACTTCGATCAATTTACGAAGGGCTGCATTTAGAAACTATAGTCTATAGTAGTTTCAATGCAGTTTGTTTGAAAAATTCATTAAATCTGTTAAATGTTCAGAATTTATGGATTTCTATTTTTTAGGATGCAAGGACAAGGGAAGTAAGAACTAGTACTTCTGCCTTATCTCCGGCGCTGCGGGAATAGCAGCCCCTCCGCCTTTGCGTGAAAAAGTCACAAGCATCACTCCCCTTCACACCTTCGGCTTGCAAGCCTAAGGCGCTACGTATCGCACGATGCTTGCGGCTTTGTCATAGCAGGCGGGGGTTGCTCTCCCTCCGTGCCTCCGGGCTCTAAAAAACACTCTAGGGGTAGGGCAGACCAAGACCACGGCGTGTCGGGGTTGACCAAGTCGGTTCTGAATTAAAGACTGTTGTAAAGCCACATTTACCTTTTTTCTAAGTGTTGAGCCCATACTATTTTTTATTTACCAAGATCTCAAAACAAACACAAAATGACAAACATTCTAAATGTTGGTACTATTGTCATTTTGACAATAGTACCAACATTTTGAATTTATTCATACTGCCCAGTCCAAGCGATAAAAAGTTATCTCAAACACTGACTTATTACATGGACCACGAGCCGTCCGGCATTATTAATAATGACCGGGCAATGTGATAAATAGGTGAGTTTAGATTGTCATTATTCACTTGGCCCTATATGGATGGGTATTATTCATACTGCCCTGGCATTATGAATACTTCAAAAAAATTACTTGCAAAAAATTTGATATATTTTCAAAATTTAACTTAATCAAGAGAAAATGTTTACGTTATATCTTTTTTTAACTTATAAATACATATAAAAAATATTAAACATCTAGCAGTTAAATGCTTAAAAAATAAATAAAATCATAATTATAAATACACTTTATGAAATTAAAAATAAAACTAATTTAATTTTTTAGTATAAAAAATTAATAATTCAATCCTTAGACGATTGTAATATAACTTTGATAGAAATAAAATGATAGTTTAACCAAACATAAAAACCTTTTATTAATAAATTATTGTTTATCTAATACATTATTACTCCTCCTCTGGCGCGAACACATGCGGAGATCCTCCTGGCCATGCTGAAGATCAAGTGCTGCAGCTCAGGGAAGCTGCTGTTCAAAAATGGGACAGGTTACCATAAGAAATGCTGGATTTTGTTCGGAAAGTGAACGGTATGGAATCTCTATTGGTATATGCTCTAAGGCTGAGGTACGCTCGACAGGCTCATACAAAAAAATTGGAGACCGAGGCGACCTCGCGCAGCTAACGTCCCAATGGCTGCTCGCTCAGTTAGAAGTTTGGACGCGGCTATAAATTTGAACATTTTTGTGTTAAACCATAGAGAAAATAAACACTATGTTTTTCAATTAACGTGTTGTCACGTTCGTCACGACGACGATTACAGAGAGATCACGCACGGCTGTTGAGTTATTGACCGGTATTTGGGTCAATAAATCAGTATCAAAATTACACAAAAGTTAAAAATAATGTAATTCAGCGTTTTCAAAAATAAATATTACTTCGTTCTTGAAATGGTTTCTTATTTCTTTTTGTTTTAAACATAAATTTGGTAATGTAGAATGTCAAAACTATGTTTATACAAATACTAGCGGGTGCTTGTTTAATTTCCCATACAAACTTCCATCCCCCTTTTCTCAAGGATAATTTTCGGGATAAAACTATCCCATCTCCTTTCCCGGGTATGAAACTATCTCTGTAACAAATTTTGTCTAAATCGGTTTTAAGCGTGAAGAGCTAACAGACAGCAATACTTTCGCATTTATAATATTAGTATGAACTGACACGCCTCAGAACAGAGAGAACCTTCAAAGAAATCCAATATAGAGAATGTTATACCTAAGCAACCAACAGTGTCGTTGCGGTGCTGCGTCTGTCGCGGTCGCTCGCGCTCTGTACTGTACCTATAACGATATCTGTACTGTACCTATAACTATTATAAGTTGGGCTTACCTTAGGAACCTGGCGCACTAGGCAGCCACGACCACGGCCAGTGGCCGCAATGACCAGAATAACTAAAGAAACCACACGAACGTTACGCACTTGGCATTAACGGCTAACTTTAGTTAATCTGGTCTTGCGTTAGTTTGAATTGACCATTAGTGATCCTGCCTGCGAATTCAGCGCCCCCGGGTGTTTTGAAAAAATACAATTTTAATATCATTTTTGTCATAATTTAATAATTCAGAGTATTTTACACAACAGTTACAGAACATAAATACCTTTGGTATTGCGCCATAGAAGTGGTAATAATTGCACATGATTTATTTGCTCTAACTACATTATGTACAAAAAATACATCAATACAAAAACTAGTCTCATCACCATTCCTATGTATAGGTAACATTCATTAATGGAATATGGCGCTTATGTAGGATACACACTGTAGTAAACGCATTTTTATAAGTAACAATAATTAGCTCTTAAAACCAGATATACACAATTAAAAATAGAATAAATAATAGAGGTATCAAATGATTACAAAATATGACAAGAAAAGGCATTATAAAAAAATCATATAAAACAATTGGCCTTGCTTTGAAAATTTGGTTTTCCATTCATTTATATACGTCCGTGGTCTAGCCCAAGAAATAGAGAAAACCAAATAACAAAATTTTATCACAATAGTTTTTTTCACAGATGTTAAGGTAGGTCATAAGAAGTTTAAATAAAAAAAAAACGGGGAATGTAGGGTGGTCACGCTGGCCGCCATATTGAAAAACGCGTTTATAGCTATATTTCCGAAATTATTGACTGTACAGAAAAAGTTGCAGAGTGCTTTTTGTTAACTATTAAGTCCTTAACTTTTTTCTTCCATTTGGATGCAAGTAAGTTACACTTCTGGTTACTTATATCAAAGCCCGTTTGTGCGCCACATTAACGACATCACTTTAAAAGTATTTATTTAATAAAAAAAAGTATTATACAAAAGTTGCAAGAAATTTAATGACCAATAACTTTTATAAGACGTGTTTTTATCAATTATTGGCATTTTTAAGGTTTTATAAAGGAAAAACTACAAACATGTTCAAATAAACAACAATAATAGAAAAACGGTAAGATATACGATAAAAAGTTTTAGTCAAAAAAGTTAAGGACTTTAGTATTAAACAAAAAATTCTCTACATTTTTTCCGTATAGTCAATAATTTCGGAGCTATAAACACGTTTTCCAATGTGGCGGCCAGCGTGACCACCCTACATTCCCCGATTTTTAAACTTAAGCTTCGTATGACCTACCCTAACATCTGTAAAAAAAACTAGTGTTGTAAAATTTTGCATTACGTTCAAGTATAACTGTAATCTCTGTTTATTGGGCTAGTCCTCTATTAGAACGCAAATGAATATAGTTCGCGCGAAAGCGATAATTTCTTTTTTTTTAATTCCGCGCGCTCTACTTTCATACATATAAAATCACGATTTGCGAAAGTCAATTAATTAAGTCAGTTATTTCACCATTTCGTGCTAGTTGGCCTAAGGGCCTGCGCTGCTTTAAGGGTCGCAGCGCTGCTCTATGGAATGACATGAAAATACAAGCGGAGCTGACGTCCGCTCCATGCTCCCGCTTAACGCAACGCAAGCCCTAATAATTGCACTACCGATCGCTTTGAGTTGGCCATCGATGACCGTTATAAAAATTGTCATAGACCAATCACAGACACGTCAATTGGTTCCGTCGACCAATAGGCTCAACTAATAAGGTCTGTCTAGAAGCGCGGTGCGGTGAGGCGGGAGCGGCCAACGTGAAGCGAACGAGTAATACCTGAATTCACGATATCGACTATTTAGCACGGAATGTAAGTAGCACAGAGCGGCTATAAATTGGCTAAGATATTAGGGAATGTTTTTTACATTATTACTTAAATGTTTGCTTATATTATTTCAGTTTTGTGATGTCAGTTTTAGCTTACGCGACAAATTCGTTCGGGTTTCTAGCTTTTTCATAGGTACTGACAAAATATTTACAGACATCCTTGTGGTATTCTATTTTAAACTCTATTTTAATTAAATAAGTATAATATTTTAGCTGTCAACAGTTAAACCGATGTTTTTTCTGCTCTCGTGCATTTTGGCTCATTATATTCAAAGCGTCTATAAAATCGCTAGGTGTAACATTATTATAATTGATTAATAAATAAAGTTATAACAACTTTACAAGAATATAAGAAATAAGTAAATAAAAATATCACAGCGCACTAATATGTAATATTGAAAATTATATAAATACACTACCCGTGCGCTTCGAGTTGGCTGTCGATGACCGTTATAAAATGACAGGCACATCAACTTTATCCACTGGTATCGTCGACCAATAGGGTGGACTAATATGGGTGTCGATTCTGGCATGATTTTTTAAACATAAAACTAAATTTAACATCAGTCATTCCTTTTCATTCTATATAGAGAATGACAAGTATACACTGGTGTCAATTCTAACATGATTCTCTAAACCTAAACTTAAATTTGACAGCAGTATATCCTTGTCAGTCTCTATACAAAATGAAAAGGAGAGACTGATGTTAAATTTAGTTTTAAGTTTAGAGAATCACGCCAGAATTGGGCCCACTGTTGTCAAATTTAAGTTGAGGTTTAGTTAATCATGTCAGAATCGACACTATGGTCTGTCTAGGAGCGCGGTGCGGTGTGGTGGGTAGGAAGGGTGGGAGCGACCAACTTGAAGCGAACGCGTTGTTTTAGTTTTCAACTGCAGTTTTATTTTACATACCTACCTATAAGTAAGACCACAGAGTACTATAAAAATAAAAAACAGAGTCTTTTCCAAGGTACTTGGGCATATTAATTCAATATTATTTGTGTAGTTCAAGGTCGAATTTAATAATTGTTTCAGACAAACCTATGCATTATTTTCGGTGTAGTTTCATCGAGTCAATAGAACACTGAAACTAATCAAATGTGAATCGATTTTATCCAACGTGGCCTGATTATACAGTAAACTATAGTAAAGTATAAAATCTACATTAAGTGAATGTTACAAGTGACAGAATATTTATAAATGCAGATTGCTTAAATTGTTATTCAATTACATAAAAATGTATCAATTAAAAAAATGTATTCAATACTCTCGATTCGGATTATCAGTTAAGTAATCTGAATATATTTTAAGCGTCCATTATTTTTATTTGATTTGTAATGGATAGATGATTTCTAATTACTATTATACAATGAATAAATATTTAATACTATTTACATTATGATATACATATTTCATTATACGAATTTCATTGAAAGATTGGGTCTCATTTGACCGCCGGCAATCTTCGTCAAATCGTTGTGGTCAAGTGAGATCCAACCTCAAAAGTAAAAAATTATTTTGTGCCCAAATTTTGTGTATTTTTTACCTCAGATACAAATACAATATGGTTTCTATTATGTGCAAGTTGTTATTAGTACAATTTACTCAAAGTTTGATTTAATGGTCATTCCAATTACCAACTGCTCCCATGCTGGGCTGGGACCTAACGAAAAACAGTATGTGCGAGCGATTAAATTTTGCGTGTATGTAATATTAACCTATTTATCGCACAGGGTACTTTCGTTTCTCCATTATCAGATATGCTAGTAAGTACTAACTATGTAGAAGTATAAATGTATCCAATAAAAAAACTAAGCTAAATGTAATAATTAGCGCAATAGTAAACTGTGATTGATTTGGCTGATTTGAGTTTGACCAACTTGCCCTAAAATTTTATATTAAAAGCACACGCGGTCTTACTTTAATAACTAAATCACTCCTAAGGACTTGTGGAATGGAACCAATCATGGTACCATCATTAAGTTAAATTGTACACAATTAATTATCATTGATGATAATTTTATATTGATGCAATTGCTATTACTGAAGTGAGACACGGCTATACGAAATGTATGGCACCGTCTGACTCCCACCGACCATAACGTCAGGAGATCATGTTTTTCTTCCACGTTTACATTGAAATAACATATAACTACGAAGCGTTTAACTAATAAATGTATCGGGCGTTGCTTATACATATCACAGGTTGCGTCTAAAGGCGTATACCAACTTGAACTGGCTCGCTCAAGTCCGTATAAGTCTTAACATATTAGACATAATACTAGGATGACGATGGTCATTGGGTATATATAGACTAATATATTACAATAACTAATAAATAACGACATGATGTCTTATAAATATGACTAACATTATACAGAAAACATCATGGGTATAATTTTTATAAAAACCGTTTCTAATAAGTAATACATTAATTGCTTACCGCTCAGGGGTACATATTGTAGATGACATTAAACATATTGTCATCAGGTATGTCAGTTATTAAACGGCAACAAACTCTAAAGTGGACAGTGTGAGAAATGCTTGAAATTAAATAGCTTGATAATTTGCTTCGCAGGACCATAAAGCGGACATTGCAATATCATGGCGAGCGCTAGTTAGCTTTAACACACCAGCAATAGAACTATCACAGAAACTGATTGCATATACTTGAGGTGTACATCTACTGTTGTCTCTTAAAATGTGTGCAAGTGAGCCATAATATTTTTTTACCAAAATTTATGCGATATTATTGCAATGAAGTCTTCTAACATGGAAGTGACGTCATCGGACGTCTGACTAGCATTGGTGCAGGTAAAATTAGCGAGTCACCAATATATAAATAAATTCTCTCTCAATCTTGAGCGACGATGCTCATCCTAAGAGCCTGAGAGAAATCAGTCATCGTCCCGCTTAGGCTCACTAAAACATGATTCTTGTATGTATATTTCGCTAACAATTTTAGTATATCACGAGTCCAACATATCTTGTCATCTCGCTAAAGAATATTCTATCAAAATCCCAAGGTGACACTTAAAACAATTTCCTGAAAATGACTTTTGAAATATACTTACAAGTTGGCCAGCAATCGATGTTTCAGCGGACGCCTCGAGATTCTATTACCAGAGGAAATCAGTCGTTAGATTTAAAGTCAGCGAAGCGGACGCAGCGGCCGACTCACGCGTTATCGAACCCGTGGAAGTCCCCCGGCCAGTTTTCTCTTCTTGCGACGCGGTCAGAACCTGTACAGGCGAAAAAAGCGTCCCCTTCAAACGGATCCGATTCTCGAGTGAATATATTGACGGATTCTGATTTCTTTATGTCTTTATGCAGGGGTGGTGGTTTAACCCGCAGCGGTGGGACGTCGCCTTCGTCTTCCTCCGCGATGGAAGCAGTTCTACCCCGCGGCGTCGACATGCTGGTGAAGTCGTCCTCGAACATGGAGCGCGGCGATACGGAGTCTGAATCGAATCGGAACCGTGTCGCCGGTGAGTCGGCGTCGCGCGCCCGCGTGCTGCTCGCCGATAGAGGCGATGCCGTCGCGTCGTCCGGCTCGAATGCGAATCTGGCGATGATTGAGAAAAAAAGGAAGGTTTTTGAATACTATTCAATATTATAGCTATTAACGGGATTGTTACCATGTACCTTGTTTTTTATGAGTCTCCGATATTTCGGCACTGTTGCGAGCGCCATGATCCGTGATCATGTAACTGAAGTTATCGGGGGTAGATGTTATTGGCAGACATATCGGTCTACCCTCTGACGTCGCCTTTTACTGCGCTCGATACCTACCCCTACCATTGGTCACTTTCTCACTATTCACACGCACCTGTTCCCGACACACAATACTCACAGTATCAGATCGCGAAACGACACTGTTTTGATTTTTGCGGTTTTTTCACATACGAACCACTGGATTCCAGACACTGGCCAATTTAAACCCATCCCCACGATTGAAATTTTTGTGTTTGGTTATTTCAATCGCTTCTGTGACCAAGCTTGGTATGTAGTGGCGTTCTGTCGAGATGATTTGTGGATTATGGAGCTTAATCCAGTGATTAGGACCCGAATCGATTAAATGTTCTGCGTTAGGTGATTTTTGCATGATACGCTGATTTTTGCGTTCTGATCTGATACTGTGAGTATTGCGTGTCGGGAACAGGTGCGATTGAATAGTGAGAATGTGACCAATGGTAGGGGTATCGAGCGTAGTAAAATATGACGTCAGAGGGTTGACCGATATGTCTGCCAATAACATCTTTGTTTAAGATCGTTACTAACCTGGTGCCGTCTAGTGTGCAGTATGGCGTCCGCTTCTTGTTAGTAGGCAGAGGTTCATGGGGCTCATGGTCGAAGGGCGAGGCATGGTCCCTCGGTGAGAACTCGCTCGAGAACCGATAGTCCCTCTGTCTTGGACGCGGTTCTTCGCGTCTCCGTCGTCTGGTCTCACGGTCGGTGTCGCGACGGGACGCGTCCGAACCGGAACGACGGCCCGCCCAGCATAATGTCGACCCGTACCTATAGTCAAATTTATACATGACCGTCAGCGTTACCAGATGTCCCGATTATTAAATTAAAATTAAATGTCCCGCGCGAGACTGACTCAATGACTCAATCCCGCTTTTCGGGTAAACTCGACTGTGCATGCAGCGTACTGAGAAAGCGCGAGCTGGTGGCACAGGCAAGTGTGGACTGGCCACACGCCCGGCGCATAATGAAGCATTCTCAAACAAAGACTATTTAACAGAAGGGTAAATCTGATTTAAAATATCATATTTTTATTAAAATAAATTTTCAATGGATATTTTTACTAGGTATCTATTGTCACGTAAACGTAATTTGAACTCAAATAAAAACATAAATATTCAAAAACTTGATTATATTTTTTTTACTATGTCCCGCTTTTGACGAACGAATCCCGCTTTTTTCACCCAAAAAGATCCTAAATACCGACTTGGCAAAAAAAAAAAAAAAACTAACGCTGATGACCGTAGTCAAATTAATAATTACAACAACAGTGAAGAAACAAATCATCCTGTCTTACAATTTCTTGATTTTGAGCTTTATACACATGGTTTAAATTTTTATCGCGCTGTCGTAGTGACATTATTTTGTACTGTTCGGACGTTTCAATAACAGTCGTGTGACGTCACCTGCTTATCACCTGTTAACACGTCATATTTGCGAAAGAAACATTTCCGCGGCATATTTGAAAACAACTTTTTATTTTTGTTTTTTAAACTGGTATACGCAACGGCAACATCCACTTTTATGGAGTCACTATTTACTTCTTTATTTTCAAAAACTTGTTGAATAGCCTACTATGGCCTGCGCCGACGAGGGACCCTTGTCTGCGGGACTTTTTTGTCCGCAAAAATAGATTGCTTACAAAAAGTCCTCGGAACAACTGAGGACACCGGACTGGAAAAAAGTACGAGGTAACCCCTGAAAAACAAAACTCATGTAGGTACAGCAACGCACACAACGAACTTAATTCTGAGTTGCGCGCTCGATCCAATTTAAAGAAATGGATACAGCATTCCCATTTAAAAAGTCTTTCCTTTTTCTTAAAGTTCATGTAAAAATAACCATACAACGTAATCTGAGAATATTTTCTTCCTAGCGTGCGCTTCTCTAAATTTAAGGGTAACAAATGTCTGCACGCCATTACAAGTCCTCAGTGGTCATTTTTTCCCCCGATTCAGGGATTTTTGCCCTCCGCGGACAAAGGTCCTTCGTCTACGCAGGCCATTACAGACACAAACTTTACTGGCGCAATCAAACATGTCGAGTATCAATTTCAATACGATTTCAAAGTCAATAGGGTATTTAACAGTATTAAAAATAAAGTGCGAATTATTAGCATCTGTGTTTAGAATGAATATTGGCAGGGATTTTTACAGAAAAAATATTCATAATTTTACTGAAAACCCACGAAAAAGATAATAGTTTTCTTATCTATTGTCACGTGACCCAAAACGCTTGGGAATGGCGGAGCCTAAAATGACGTCAAACGCAAGTAAACTTCCGGTTAAAGTGACATTACATCGTTTGACGATTTAATAACAGTCGTGTGACGCCACACACCAGTGAGACGCCATATTGTCCAGAGAAACGTTTTCGAGACAATTTGAAAATGGAGTTATTAAAGAAGACAGGCCCACACCGTCTAACCGGGTATCTACTCTGGTCACGCATCCATACAAGCTTATTATAGAGATAGCTTGGCCTTCCTTTGTCCAGAACATCAAATAATAAGGTAGCTAAATGTAACTTCCTCCTTGCCTCCATCTTTAAAAGTTTTGCGGCATTCAAAAAGGGAGTTATGTGTGAACGAGGAGGCACATAAAAACAAAAACGAGAACAAGCCTTCTGTATGCGTTGAATGATCTTACTAGTTCTGGACATTAGGCAGGGTCCAAAAACAGTATCACAGTAATTTAACTTTGAAAGAACGAGCATTTCACACAACTTGATTCTCAGCTCCTCACTTAAATAGGGTCTAATATTGTACAGCATTAACCTATAAAAGCCAATGCGGGAACATTCAGCAATGTGACTTTCGAAGCTAAGTTGTTCATCTATAATCAGTCCCAAATTTCTAACATAATTTACGCGTTCTATTCTCTCTCCATCTATATTTATATTAAGTGTCATGTCTTCAAAAAATTTAACATTCTTATTGGAACCTATTAATAATAATTTAGTTTTTTTTGGGTTGAGAACCAGAGAGTTCGACTTGCCAATCGGAAATACGATTTAGATCCTCATTCATCTTATTTACAGCATTATTGTGGTCAGAGTACTTGAATGGAAGATACAGTTGCAGGTCGTCTGCATACAAGTGATATTGACAGTGGCGTATATTTTCTGTGATATCACCGCTTTTACGGACTCCTTCAACATTAGTAAATAACGTGAGATCGTTTTCTAAAACTTGTCAAATACCCTATTATTCAATCAATCGTACAATTTGATTTAATGAGCGCCTTTAACAGTAAGCCTTGTACAATATATTACCTTCTATCACTGGTGTCTTCGCTCTGTCTCATTTCAGCTCTTCTACGCGTTTCTCGCCATCCCAATGAACCGTAATTCCTCTCTGAAAGCATTATGCGATTATTCGTCCCGTTTCCCGACATCAAAAGAGGATTTTCGAATATGCGTCAATACGTTTCGTTTCTATCTTGTCTGATACCCGCACCGAGTAGAATTTATCTGGTATTTTTTTATAACACAAACACAGTACGGAAATACGAGCATTATTTTGACAACCTTTTAGCGCAAGCTTCTTTGTCTATGGTCGATGCTTAAAAAGTTTGCCGGGGTGTATAACTTATTATAGGTTTTATTTCAATTTAGAACTGACTTGCAAATAGAAAGCTGTTATTGAAAAAATAAAGAAATGAACACTTTCAAATAAAAGGTTTTGCCTAGGTAGTACCTATAGTCTTTCCATTATATTATTATCTTTTTGACAGATCGACGCCCATGTAATTTCGTATTGTTTACGTTAAAATGTCATACAAATAATATTGCACTTCATGGACGGGTACCGCCCACTTAGTGATGTGCCACACATAATGATTACTAAGATTATGCCACAAATTACAAATAATCGGTAGAAATAAATGATTACAGAGTACAGTACATATTCAGAGCTTACGGATGAACGGTTTGCTCAATACAAAGTAACAAATTACCACTATATGACTTGTGAAAATAATTAAATATTTCACGAGAGAAAAATACGTAGGCAAATTTTCCAAACGATTTTTATTGACAGACAGAAAAAAAGAATAAAATTATTTTACAACAAAACGTCACTTTATAAAAAAAGTAAGAAAAGGAGGTTGATAGTCCCCAAAAGACTACTCAACTTAACGTTTAAGACTACTCAACTTAAAAAGAAGAATTACGTTGCAACTGTCGCAAGATCAGTGAACAATTGACTTCAAAATGGCGCAATACACCACAAAACATGGTGCTGCCAACACTCAAAAAAATTTAAATGTTATAAGTCGAAAGATAGTTTTTTATAAACCTTTTTTTAAATGAAATTATTAATTATAATCAATAAATCTAATTGTACAGAGTATTACGATAAACAAAAATATAAAAAGTATAGTGCTTTTTTGTTATATATTTAAACATATTATAGATAAATCACAACCAGACACAGTACAAATACTCGTGCTCATCACACAAATATTTTTACTAGGTAAAATAATAAATCTAATGAGATTATCTAATAATTTATTAAACACCAGTATTTTAGATAACTAAAATAATTTCGATACTTATAATCGATTCAAGAATGTTCTAGCACAAAATCGATTATTTAGCTATTTGCTTTAAATCGAACGAATTATGTGATAGGGTGTCACTATTTTTACTTTGATCGATCTGACATAAAGATAATAATATAATGGACAAACTATAGTTTTAATTTCCGCATATTAAGTGACTCACAGACAGACCTGTCCTTATTGGTCGCTCGTGTTTGACCACTTGCTTACTTACATTGCAAGCGAAAACGCTGGCCGCCACCTTGGCCGCGTCTTTCTGTGAGACACTTTATTTGAGAAAATCACTATACAAAAGCGTGGCCACAGCTAGGCATTGATGGACTTACGTATTGGATTGGATGGATTTAAACGTTCGTCCATCAATGCCTCTTTTGCTAGCCGCTGCAGTAATGCACTATTTCTTACCGTCTCTTCGCCACCGTTGATCCGGCCACCGGTCGCGAGGAGATGATCTACCTGACCCACATCCATCGCTGTAACTTAAGAAAATAATAAAACACTTACTTCCTTATAATATAAAAAATGTTGATTAATTTTAAAACCGGTCTAAAATTTAGATGTCACCTTTCGTTTAATTAAAAAAAAAATACAGAGAGCATAAGATATAAATCAAGTCTATCTTTCTTCGTTTTGTAATAAGGAGGTTACTGTTTAGTTTTTCGGAACAGGTTTTAATTCTTACGATTCAAATTCGTTCAGCGTTTAATCAGGCATGCTTTATGAGAGATGGGATTTGTTAAATTGAACTGTAAATAAGACAGTTTCAATGACATTAAATGCTTAGATTTTGGCAACATAATAGGGGAAACCACGCAATCATTGGCACTTTTGAGTTTCATTCAAAAAAATTCAAGGAAATCATAGATTATTTAAACTCGTTATATATTAAATAAAAAAATCTAGTACGATCAAAATTTTGAAAATTTGCAGCAGTGTTCCGATAAAAAATAAGTGGCATTAAAATTTTTAATGCGATTCGAAGTATAATCAAGAGTGCCAATAATTAGAAGAGTACTAATAATTGGGTGGTTTCCTCTATATTTGTTGCGTAGTCATGAATTAAATATAACCTAAAAGTGATGGTAAAAAAAATGTAAACTCGTACTTACTCTTCTTCATCGTCGTAGGAATGTCTCGTCTTTCGATGTCGATCCCTATCTTTGTCTCTGTAATCTTTCGACCTCTCCCGACTCCGCGAATCCCTGTAGTCCCTGTCTCTGCTATAGTTTCTATCTCTGTCCCACATATCGGTATCTCTATCTCTACTCCTTCTATCCCTCCTATCTCTATGGTCCCTGTGATCACGCTCCTTACTGAGGTCCCGCCGATCTCTGCCGCTGCCGGAATCTCTTCTGTCTCTCGCGGAATCTCTTCCATCTCTAGTTGCGTCTCTATCTCTGTCCCTGTCTCGCCCGTCGCGTTTATCTCTTAGTTTATCCTTTTCCCGACCACTGCCCGAGTCTAGACATTCTCTAGAACCCGAAGAGTTGTGTCTAGAAAAGAATAATTACTCGTTTTACAAATCAACCGCTTACATATATAAGAGGACAACTACAAGGTTATTCAAGTTTACGCAGTTGTATATTTTAATAACTTCCGTAATTATATATGCTGATATAAGTGATATAATACTAGACTAGACATATTACTAAGTAAGTTTGAATGAATGAATGATCACTTTATTGTACACCATGAAATTTTATATTACAATTAATTGAGACTATTACATAATAGTACAAACCGCGGCCTTATCGCTAAGAAGCAATTTCGTCCAGGCACCCGTATGTTAACTAGACTGTTACATAGAGAGTGGGAAGTAGATGGTGTCATTTAAAGTTTAAAGTGAAATCACCATTAATAATACTTATAAATAATTATGTAGAACAAAACATAAAATACAAATACATAAACATAATATATCTACATTTATATATAACACTATCATTTTAATCATAGATGTTTGCTTTACCTTGATTCTCTGTCGCGGTGATCTCGATGGTGTGAGGGGGGCCTCTGTAGTCTTTGTACGGGAGGCAGCTCCTCCTCCCACGGCGACACGTCGCGAGACGAAGATGATGTTTGCACTGAATGGATGAAAATAATATTTTTGATACATTGAGAGATAGGAAGTTATTTTCCAGCCAGCGTGCTATATCAGTAATACCTACCTCCAAATACCCAAATATACGCGACCACGATGACCTATTAAATAAAATTACTTCGGCATTTAAAAGGGAAATACATAGAAAGTCATTGAGGTTTATGTAGAACAGGGTAGGCCCTATAACACTGCCTTGGGGCACTCCGAAACGAATGGGTTGAGAATCACTAGTGAAATCAGCCACACGAACATATTGGACGCGGTCAGTGGAATAGCTTTTGAACCATGCCATGGCTATTCCTCTAATACCGATTTTTTCAAGCTTGGCTAGAAATTTGGGTATTGATACGGTATCAAATGCCCTGGCAAGGTCCAGAAACACAGCGACACAATGGCGATTCGAGTCAAGATGCTTTGTTATCAGAGACGATGACGAAAGGACGGCGTCCTCCGTAGAATGACCTTGTTGAAAACCAAATTGTCGACTTGCCAGTAGCTTATATGAGTTAAGAAAGTGTGATAATCGCTTTTAGACCATTTATCGAGCATTTAGAGAGAATACTTAACAAGGAAATCGGCCTGTAATTACTTGGAACATGCTTTGATCCACACATCACTACTCAGGCTGAGATTAAATATATGAGCTAACGGGGTTGATAGTGAGTCACTATTCAATTTTAGGAAGATTGTCGTGATACCGTCTAGACGCCAGACCGTGGGGGCGCCAGACGAGACGGGGGACGGTGTCTGTAGGAGACAGGAAAAAAAAGTTCCCTCCTCCACCCGGGTAATACTGACCGTGCCTGGAGCCGGGGCGGCGCCGTCGCACCCGTCGCGGGCCGGAGTCGCGGCTGTCGGACGACGCTCCCTCCTCCACCCGCGTAACACTGACCGTGCCTGGAGCCGGGGCGGCGCCGTCGCACCCGTCGCGGGCCGGAGTCGCGGCTGTCGGACGACGCTCCCTCCTCCACCCGGGTAATACTGACCGTGCCTGGAGCCGGGGCGGCGCCGTCGCACCCGTCGCGGGCCGGAGTCGCGGCTGTCGGACGACGCTCCCTCCTCCACCCGGGTAATACTGACCGTGCCTGGAGCCGGGGCGGCGCCGTCGCACCCGTCGCGGGCCGGAGTCGCGGCTGTCGGACGACGCTCCCTCCTCCACCCGGGTAATACTGACCGTGCCTGGAGCCGGGGCGGCGCCGTCGCACCCATCGCGGGCCGGAGTCGCGGCTGTCGGACGACGCTCCCTCGCATGCGGCGCCGTCGCATGCGGCGCGGGCCAGAGTCGCGGCTGTTGGACGACGCTCCCTCCTCCACCCAGGTAGTACTGACCGTGCCTGGAGCCGGTCCGGCGCCGTCGCACCCGTCGCGGGCCGGAGTCGCGGCTGTCGGACGACGCGGGGGAGGCGCGTTCCCCCAGCACCGCCCACCTCCCCCCTACGCCACCCACACCGCTGCCACTCACGCATTTTTCTGTGAATTAAATGGTTATTTAGATTATCATCTTCATCTCACCCATGCGACACCCACTACCAAAGATCTCCCCGTCTACGGCGATAGCTACGATGCCCACAAACATTCAGCCGTGGTTATGCTTATCCCACACCTGGATGGATTCGGGTGGCTTTGGTACGCTAAAATTAGCATTCGAATCTTGTATGTAATTCTTTGAATCAAGTACGCTTCTTCAGCTGCACATACAAAATTTTCGTTTTGCACAACCTTTTTTAGCGTGTCAAATTATCACCTGTAAAGCTATCGTCTAGCGTCTATAGAAACGCAGCACGTTAATAAATAACGATAGAATGAATTCTAATTCGAACGCAAATTTTTAGGGTGTTTGGTACCAAATCCACCCGAAGCATCGTGGCGCAGGTGTGGGACAAGCATTAGTCGCGCAATGCCCACTACCAAAGATATGCACAACGACGAATCCACATCCACAACACTGAATGCGCTGGCCAAATGCCCACACATATTCAGCCTTTGTTAGAACATAAATAGTAAAGTAATTCAAACAATGATACAGTACAACTACAGTAACAATAACCCTCATTATACCCACAACAGTATGTTAATAACCCTCATTATGGCGCAGTTCGGAAACAAATAAAAACATTTATCTTTCTCTCATCTAATCAAATAAAGCCCATCACGGAAGAATTTACTCGGGGAGACTATTGTAAGAGAGGGAGATGACCACCTTCACAGACATGTTGCTATGAGAGAATTATTTATAATAGTATGTATTAAGCTATTTCAGAATGCCCTTTTTTGCTTCTCTGTTAACCCAGCAAACGATTTAGCGCGAATTAATGTATGTTTAAAAGTAAACTATGGATTTAGAGATACCACTCTGGATCTTATTGTATCTTATTTGAGTGATAGGGTTCAGAGGGTTGACATCAATGGAGTAAAATCTCCTGGTTCGTCGGTTAAGATGGGAGTTCCGCAGGGCTCAATCCTTGGTCCTTTCTTATTTTTAATTTATATCAATGACTTGCCCTATTTTGTAAAGGATAACCACGAAATAGTATTGTTTGCGGATGACACTTCACTTTTGTTTAAAATTAAACGTAGGGAGTCACAAATTGATGACGTGAACAGGTCTATTTCGAAGGTAGTCCATTGGTTCAATGTTAATAATTTGATGCTAAATGAAGGGAAAACTAAGTGTTTGAAATTTGTATTACCTAATGTGAAACAGGTAAAAACTAATGTAAATATAAAGGATCGACATATGAGCTCTGTAGATACCACAGTGTTCTTAGGAATCACACTAGATTCTAAGCTGCAGTGGGGCCCACATATTGATGGATTGTCGAAGAGACTTAGTTCTGCAGCATATGCTGTAATGAAAATACGGCAGTTAACGGATATAGAAACTGCCAGATTAGTCTACTTTAGTTATTTTCATAGTGTAATGTCTTACGGTATTTTACTGTGGGGAATTGCCGCCGACATTCAAACTATATTTGTGCTGCAGAAGAGGGCTATTCGATCAATTTATAATCTTAAAGTTAAGGATTCATTAAGAGATAAGTTTAAAGAAATAGGTATATTGACAGTTGCATCACAATACATATATGACAACTTAGTATTTGTAAAAAAAAATATTAATTTGTTTACTAAAAATAGTGAAATACATACATATAATACTAGAAATAAAAATAACTTAACTTTACCTGCTACTAGGCTCCACAAAATCAATAATTCGTTTAGAGGTCTTAGTGTTCGCTTTTACAATAAAGTTCCAAGCAATATTCAAGAGTTAAGCATGACTAAATTTAAATCGACCATTAAAAAATCACTAGTTAAGAAAGCATATTATAAAGTGTCTGATTATATTACAGACAAAAATGCTTGGGTATGAACTGTTCCAACCATTCCAACGGGTATTTCTATATGATTTAAATTATGAATTATGTGTTGACAATACTATAATTAAACTGAAAGCTGTATATAAAGTTAATAACTTAAGTAAGATTACCAGACTGTTTAAGAATATTTGATTGACAAAACGGCGTGGTCGTGATTTCTCCTTTGCTTTGTTTTGTAATTGTTTGTTGTGTCTTACTGGTAAATGACCTTAATTTAAGTAAATATGTTGTAGTTAGTATGGGTAGTTATGGGTAGTCATGCTCTCATAATAGTCTCTTCGGCGGTGTCGTGTGAGGCGGGTCGTTACGTTCCCTAAAATATGGTTGAGCGAAGCGATGGCTGGTTCATGCGTCATGCTCGTGAACGGGTGCTGCCAGCGGAGATGAGTCTGCCCTAACTTCCTTAATATTGAAGTTAATGTTTAGTCACACTGAATATAAATAACACTATTTGTATTTATACTGTATGACACAGCAATCAAAATGCAGGTAAACAATTAATGTATATTTAATAATTATGTAATGAAAAGTGACTTCATGAATCACCTCTGAAGTCATTTTTCAATTTGACGACTCTGTAAATAATAAAACAGGGAGAAAAAAACAGCCCTTGCTGAGTTTCTTGCCGGTTCTTCTCAGTACAAGGTCTCCCGCCGTAGATTTACGAACCGATGGCGTAGCTTCTAGACATTCATATGTGCTTGTAACAGCCTAAACTGAATAAATGATTTTGATTATGATTATGATTATTATGATTATGATTAAAATACCAATCACTACACAAAATATAACAGACCCCACTAGAGGTTTATCTTACATTGACCATTACTTAGTAATGTAAAGAATGATTGACTTTAGATTTTTTTAATCATTTATTTAATGTTGATTGACGTCTTATAAAATTAAGCTAACACTTATTGCTATTTCATTGACGATATTTTTATTTTTGATTCACTAGGTTATATTAAAATTTATTATTGATGTTGAAAATGTATATCATAATGTAAACAAATATGTATTAGGTTTATATAATGTATTGTTAAATATTTGCATGCTATTTTAGATTGCTGAATGGGCCGAAGTTCAAAATTATGAGATCTGCAGTGTACCCTATTAAAAATGAAAATAAATAAATTCTAATTAGTTGCACCTGCAAAGAAGTATACTAGAGTCTTAACCAAAAGTCAGTAAAACGTTTCGTAAAAAGAAATAACACAAAATTTTATTTTAAATTCTTCTTACCTTTAGTATCAGGCGACGAACCGCTGATAACGTCACTAATAGAACCAGTAGAAAGTCTAGCGGGTGGCGGTAACGGCGCGGGCCTCAGTGGAGCCGGTTCAGGCACAGGTTCTAACTGCACCTCCACTTTCTTCTCCTCTTCCCTCTCTTTCACTACCGGACTCTTCCTGAAAGCGTCTTCAACGTGCGAAAAAGACAACGAGCTGTTATCGATGCAGTCGAAAAAGTCGGAGTTATCGAAACCGTCCGATTTCTCGTCGGATCTCTTTCGTTCCTTGGGCGGTTCTGGTGGTAACGATTCGAACTCGTCTTGAGGTGGCTCAGTGATAGTAATTTCACGTAACGCTGCGTATCTGTCGCTCGTGTCTTCGTGTTTTACGTCCACAGACCCATTATCCCTAGGGGAAACGCTTCTTCTACTTTTCTCTATTTGCAAAGTTTTCATCACAGATTTTATATCTTCTATTTTGGCATCAATCTGCGTCGGTTTCGGGCTCACAGAATTTCTAAACATATTGAAAGAGTCTAAAGTCAATTCGTCTAAAGTTTTCAACGGACTTCGTGATGTCTCTTTGATTTCGTTCCGCCTTTCCTCGTTAGCTTTAATTGAGTTATCTATGGCCGCCAATTCTTCTTTTTCGTCAGAATCTTGTTTTGTTTCCGATTCGATATTATCTAGAGGATCTAGTACGGACATAGATTTCAACTCCTGCTCTTGTATCTCTCTGAAAGCCGCATATCTGTCATAGGAGGAATTTGCTTTTTTATCAAAGTCGTCGAAATTCGCGACAAATGTATCGCCGATTTCGGTAGTGCTAGGTGGTGCGAAATTGTCTTCGAATTGTGGCTTGAAATCGATCGGATCCGGCTTGAATGGTATGGGCGGAATCGTTGAATTAACGGGCTTTTCCGGCTTTTTCATTGGCATGGATGATGAGAAATTTTCCTTTTCTATTTTCGTCGAGGGTTCCACATGAATGTGCTGTAAAGTAATTAAATAAGGAATGGTAACGTAGAATATAGAGCAAGTAAATAGTTCATTTTTATTATTGCATTTATGTCGGAAATTAACAAATATAAATAACAACTTTACCGCTCTTTCGTTATCCGCTGCCAAGTATGATCTGAGATAATCAGTGAGCTGTGGTAAAGTCATTGAAGAGAGGGTGGCTGTAGGAACGCGTAATCTGAAAACAATAAACGTCGAAATTGTGATGGAAATAACAGAGAAGTCCTTTTTTGAGAATTTTTCAGTATTTCATTTAACTACACAGTTAAGTTTTCGATTGAGTTTTGCAAATTGTTTTTTTGTGGATTTGTAATAAAATGATGCTTTTCTGCCAATTGTCTTGCAAGTTTTACAATAATGTTAATGAGCCACGTAGGCCCGCGCGTGACTGTGAACTAAGAAGTGCTTAAGAGGTGTTCAAACACTTCTTGCTTGAAACACATTTTGAGCGCACGTTTTAATCGCCAGAGGGCGGTATACGTAAAAACATTGGCTCCGCGCAAATTTTAAAAAATAAATCGTAAACATTAGTATTATAGTGATTCTATTTCATCAAAGTGATAATTAATTGGTAAATAATGCGTGTTAGTGTTTGTGATAAAATTAGTGGAATAATAATTAAAAAACTGGTCAGTGCAAATTTGAACAGTGATAGTTTAAAAATAAATAGTTTGGGTTGCGTAATAATAATAAAAAGGACACAATAAATATATTTAAACATGAACTAGGTAAATAAGTGATAATTGCGAGTGTTATCAAAATAGTTTTTGATTTAACATAACGGATTTATTTGTTTACGGATGGACTATTTACCTACCTTACTTGACATTAACAAGTCCGCGAACTACCTATAGCGCCACCTAGTGTCGAGTAGCTGTCGTTTTAGTTTAATAAAATTAGAGCAAGTAGCGACATCTGGTGAGCTTGTCACTTACTAAATTGGATTGAGTGCTTTCAAAAAGCAAGAATCACTGCACTATTACTTTTAGTTTTAAAGCAAGAACCATTGCAGCACATAAAACAAAACTTTTACTACGTACCTCAAGATGGCAGGCATATGTGCAGGATGCCGTCAAGAGATACTAGGAAGACAATTTTTAAAATGCTCTATCTGCTTACAAAATTATGATCTTGAATGCTGTAACGTATCTGAGAAACGGTTCTATAATACCATGAGTAAAGAGCACAAACAGTCATGGAAATGCCAATTGTGTCGCTCAAAGGAACCAAAAACTGACAACAGTAATACTCCGATTCGGCCTCACACTGAAAATTTTGACCGCCCCTGTAAGCAATCTTTAGATACTAACATCACCTTTAGAAAACTGAAACCACGTAACACAGGGGATCGCCCGAACCTTAGCGATGATGATTCAATAAACTCACTGCAGGGAAACACTATTATATTCGATACCCCTAAGACCCAAAGTAAACTAGACCTGAGCACTAATATGGGGGATGAACAAATTACCGTGGAAAGAATGAAGATATTATTACACGAAAACAACCAGAGCATATTAACAGCTATACAAGCTTCTATTAGGAACGAAATAGAATTAGCTATATCTAGGATGAAAGCAGAATATGATAAAAAATTGGAAAATATTGCATTTGAGCAATCGCAGTTGAAACAAAAAATATCAAATGTGGACAGTATAATAGTGGAACTAAATAAAAAATGCAGATCTCTTCAAACAGAAAATGAATGTATACAAAATAAGTTGCAACACTCGCATATAAATTTACACCAGCCAACCAACGAAAATATAGATAAAGTTTTTGTTTTACACGGACTAACAGAGTATTACTGGGAAACCGAAAGCGAAATAATTGGCAGAGTAACGAACATTTTCTTCGACATACTAAACTTGGACATATCAGCCTACATCGAAGAAGTATCTTTCATAGGTAGATCTACAAATAAAAGACCTTTAAAAATCGAAATAACCAATAAAAGATTGAAAAGATACATACTTGAAAATTCTTATTATTTAAAAGAAGCCGGCTATGGTGTTGCAGAGTATTTAAGCCCACAAGCTCTACAGGAGAGAAAAAAACTAAACAATGCCTTGTATTCGGCACGAAAACAAGGACATTATGCCATAATAAAAAACAATAAGTTGTTTATTGATGACAAAGAGTGCGAAGAACCGCCACTAAAGGACACACCGGTGCATTCAACTAACAAAAATCACTTGAAGCACAGTCCCGGAAAACGTCGAAACTCAGGCACACCTCGTCCACCCCGTACCCAAACTGTAAGAACAAACCAACCAGGCAACAGCAGGAGGAGTGACGAAAATTATACTAAAAACTCTACTTTTCGTACCTTTCGAAACCAATTTTAATATTTTATTTCAAAACATGCAAAGCATTTCTAACAAAACACATATTATAGAGGCATTTACTGAGGAGAACTCTGATCTTCAGGTTCTATGTATATCCGAGACTTGGCTAAATAAACATAAAAAAGATTTCTTAAAAATTGAGGGTTACTTGATATGTTCGTCTTTCTGCCGGGAACATCACCAGGGAGGTGGTGTATGTATTCTAATAAAAAATACAATTGAATTTATTGATAGGTTAGATATATCCTCTATATCAGTGGTTCTCAAACTTTTTAAATGACGGAACCCTTTTGGGAAGCAAAATACTTGATGGAACCCTACAATAAAACAATTATTTTTATAAGTGTATTCTATATTAATCAGCATAATAAAAGTACAATGTATCCGTTACTAATTATTATTTACTTCACCACTTGGTAAGGACAATAATAGAAAACATTAAAAAAGAAAAAATCTAACTAGTGGGAGGTATGAAACTGTTTTTTATTTTTCATCAATTGCTTGATATCAGGTTTGATGGAAGAAAGTTGGAGTCTCATATCAGCTTCGGCGTCCAGTCTATTGCGATATTTTGTTTTCGTGGCTGCGTAGGTAGAGAATCCTGTTTCGCACAAATATGTAGTTGGGAACGGGAGAAGAATATCCAGAGCCATTTGGCCAAGCATTGCATATTCATCTTGGATTCTGCACCAAAAATCATTAAGAGGCGTCGTTTTGAACAATGACTCCATACTTGTGTCTGATGACATTTCTAAAAGAGATTCATATATCTCATTTGACATGTTTTCAGGCTTTTCCAAGTTGGGTAAAAAAGGATTATGAATCCAGGAGTTCACTTTAATTTTTGTATTGTGTTCTTCGGGAAAATACTTTTCAAAAGATGCGCGCATCGAACTGAGATATTGGACCAATTCTTCAAACACATTATCTTCAAACATTTCTGAGTCGTTTTCGCTAACAAACTCAGTGAGTAACGTAAAACTTTCTATTTCTTTCTTACCAATGCAAATGATCCAAAAATCTAATTTTCTTTTAAAAGTAGTTATTTTATTATAGGCCTGAAACACTGTTGTCTGTTTACCTTGCAATGATAAATTTAATTCGTTAAGTTTTTGAAAGATATCCGCCATAAAAGACAATCGGAACAACCAAGTTTTATCATACAAACGGTCCTTCAAATTAAAAGAAGTATCTGCTGAAAGAAACATTTGTAACTCGGCTCTAAGTTCAAATAGCCTTGTTAAAGTTTTTCCCCGAGACAGCCATCGCACTTCTGTATGGAGCAGCAGTGTTTTATGTTTGCTGCCATAATCTTCACACAATAATGAGAACAATCGGGATTGTAGTGGTCGTGATTTGATAAAATTAATTATTTTTACCGCTTCATCCATAACTAATTTTAGATTAGACGGCATTTGCTTCATCGCAAGTGCTTGTCTATGCAGAATACAATGACTGGAACTACAATTAGGCGCTTTATTTTTCATTCGTGACACTGCTCCTGCTGTTTTACCTGTCATCGCCTTGGCCCCATCTGTACAAATGTCAATGCAATTGTTCCAACTGAGATTATGTTCTTCAAAAAATATATTTATTTTATTAAAAATTTCTTCCCCGGTAGTGTTTGTAAGCAGCGATGAACACATAAGCATGTCTTCTTCAAAAGAACTTTTATATGGATATCTCACAATAACCAGCAGGATAGCCAAACCAGCGACATCAGTCGACTCGTCCATTTGCAAAGCGAATCGTGTATTTTGTAGACGTGTAACTAGTTCTTGTTTGACGTAGCTTGCCAGATCATGGATTCGTCGTGAAACAGTATCGTTTGATAGCGGAACAGTAGAAAGATGCTTTGCAGATTTTTCATCAAGCATACATTTTGTTATGTCTAATACACATGGTTTTATTAATTTCTCAGCGATAGTGTGCGCTTCACCTGCTTGTGCAATGCGATAGCTAACTAAGTATGATGCCTCCGTGGCCTTTTCGTTGGTAGTTTGTGTTACATGCATCATATTTTTTTGACTTTCTAATAACTGATCTTTTTTGCGAACAAAAAATTCTTTATTCTTGTCTTTAGTCTCGGGGTGTACGGTTTCTAAATGTCGACGCAATTTGGCAGGTGCCATGGAACTATTAGGAAGCAGTTTACTACAGAGCATGCAGAGAGGTGAGCCGTTGGAATCAACAAATCCGAAACTGATATAAGATTCATCATACTTCCTTTTTTTCGTCTTTGAAACCGTCGAGCTTGACGTCGTGGCACTCGTGGCATCATCTTCTGGATCGGTGATTGCTAAATTCTCCGCGCGCATTGCTTTTGAACATTCAGCGTCATTAGAAGATGTTGTTGGAACACGTTTAACACCTTTAAGCCAACGTTCCATTCTTCTTTATTTATAATGTTACAAGTCAGGATAGTGGGGTTTAAATAATGCACAATCGTTACTGCGTATAAGAGACTAAATTTAGAACCTACAGGGAAGAAATGTATAAAACTGAGACAACAGAATACAGCAGGCAGTAAAACAATGAACACCAGTTTCTCGCTAGCGAGCTTGTAAGTAGGTAGTAACTTATCGCTCCGAACGCTAATCATCAACTGACGACGCCAACGCGCGATCGCCGCTTTTATACTTAGTCCTAGACTCGATCTCAAATATTCTCGAAAATACTCGAGTCGGCACCTTTGATAAACAAAAAGCAAAAATAAAAACAGAAATTTAAAAATAGCGTTGTAAACAATATCGACTTTATCCTTTGAAGTTAGAGACGAAAGTCGCTAGTTGACAACTATAGCGTCTAATTCAGAGGCGGCTTTTATCAAAGAGACTGAGCGCTTACAAGTATACTACCCGCTCGTTTTAAGTTTGCCGCTGGCGATAGGTATGAGTGTATGACGTTCGAAATTTTTTATTTAATTGTAACAATAAAAATTGTGTACGTTAGATATTTGGGTAAAACTATGACACATTATAAGTTTTGTTGTCACGTGGGGGAGGGTACGCGCATTCCACAGACCGGCAAACTTAGAGCGAACGCGTTGTACAAGTATAAAATTGTTGAGACCAAACTTATGAGATATTGTACCAGCTAATGTAACACAAGCTTATACAAATACAAATAAATAAATAAATAACATTCATAGCGTTTTGTCTCCGCGCGGCCGCGGAGTCCGCACAGCCGCGGAGCGACCAGAGAGAGGTGTTTTGATTTTTTTATTTCTAAATTCTTGCGGAACCCCGACAGAGGTATCACGGAACCCTAGGGTTCCGCGGAACACACTTAGAGTATAGCTGCTCTATATCATTGGAGATGATCTTCGAAACATGCGCTGTCGAAATACCTAAGTTTAATTTGTTAATAATAATTATCTACTGGCCGAATAGTAAAAGAGAAGTGGACACATTCTATGTTTGTTTGGAAAAACTACTAAATCTCTTATCCAGAAAAGATTCCACAAAAAATATAGTCATAGGCGGAGACTTTAATATTGATTTTCTAATAAATAACGCTGAAAAACAGAGGCTTTCTAATAATATGCTATTATATAATTTCACGCAAAAAATTAAAGAACCGACTAGAATTACTCCATATAGCTCGAAATGTATTGATTTGCTATTCCTGAATTTTACATTAAACGATACTAAGGTAGCTGTTGATGAATTCGGTTTTTCTGACCATCGCGGTATATTAGTTACTGCACCTTTTAGTAAAAAAGAAAATAAACATTTTTTTGTATACAAACGAGTGTTTTGTGACCTAAACGTAAGTAAATTTAGGAACGCACTTACACTTATAAATTGGGAGGACTTGCTGAATTCTGGTAAAAACGTTAATGATAATTATAACATATTTAATAGTACTATACAAGAAGCTTTAAATAAATATATACCTAAAAGAGTAATAAAAATAGAGAGTAATAAAAAATGTAATAAGAAATATTTAACACTTGGGTTAAGGACATCATGTAGATATAAAAGATTCTTGAGAGTATTAATATTAAAAACAAGTAATAATAATCTTAAAAATCATTATAAACAGTACTGTAAAATATTAAAAAAAGCTATTAATATATCTAAAAAAAGTTGCAATAAAAAAGTATTTGAGAAATCACAAAACAAAACTAAAACTATGTGGCGAATAATAAATAAGGAGACAAATAAAAACATCCAACAATACAAAAATACGAAAATTAAAACAACAGACAATATAATACAAAGCGATCCTAAACTTGTAGCCAATTCTTTTAACTCTTTTTTTGCTGCAATTGGAAATTCACATACGGTCTCTAAAAGCATGCGAAGACCACCTTCTACAATTAACAGCGAACAAAGTTTCTTCTTGCGACCGGTAGATTTTAAAGAAGTACACAAAATAATAAAAAATCTAAAAAGTAAAACATCTTTTGGAATCGATGAAATACCTCCTACCCTGGTGAAAAGCTGTGCCGCTGTTTTGGCAGTCCCATACACTATGCTGGTAAACCAATCTTTTTCGGAAGGCGTTTTCCCTGATGCTTTGAAAATATCAAAAATAAAACCTATTCACAAAAGGGGAATATATACTTATATTAATAATTATCGACCAGTGGCTCTCTTAACGACCTCATCCAAAGTGTTTGAGACAGCTATGGCGGTTCGGCTTTATTCTTTTTTAGAAAGGTTTAAAATTTTGCACGAAAGCCAAAATGGCTTTAGGAAAAATCACTCCACTATCCTAGCAGTTTATAAATTTATAAAAGATGTCTACCAACAAATAAATAATAGGAAGTACGCGGTGGGCCTTCTTCTCGACATGAGCAAGGCCTACGACAGGGTCAGTTATAGAACTCTTCTGGATATATTATATGGAATGGGGATTAGGGGATTGCCTCATGAATGGTTCAAATCTTATCTTGAAAATCGTTACCAATACGTGGAAATTGAAAATACTGATTTTGAGACAGGTAAAATTACACATACTAAATCTGATTTAATTCATGTAACTGGTTCAATTCCGCAGGGTAGCGTTTTGGGGTGTAATTTTTTTCTTGCCTATATTAATAATCTACCCAATGTACTGGAGGAGATGTGTGTGCTGTTTGCTGATGATATATCTATCTCTATATCTTGCTCAAGTGCTTTAGAATTACAATCTAAACTAGACTCTACCCTTAATAAAATTACGAATTGGCTAGAATCACACAATTTGCAACTCAATCTTAGCAAAACTAAGCTCATTCAATTCGGACCCTACCAAAAAGTGCCACTAGACATATCGTACAGTTATAGAGACACAAAGATTGATGTTGTCAATACTGCTACTTTGCTGGGTATAGAGTTGGATGCACACTTAAACTGGAAATGCCACATACAAAGGCTGTTAAAAAAGATGTCATCTTTTGTTTATGCACTTCAACATTTAAAACGTGTGACTGATTTTAGATCCGCTCTTACTGCTTACTATGCATATGCTCATTCAATACTATCATATGGTATAATTTTGTGGGGAAGCTCATCTGACGTAGACAAATTATTTATAATGCAAAAGAAATGCATACGAATTTTGACAAACATCGATCAGATGGAATCATGTAGACCTTATTTTATTAAACATAGAATTTTGACCCTTGCATCCATACTCATCCTTGAATCATGTAAATTTGTAAGAAAACACCCAGAATTTTATTCACCAATAGTAAGTGTTAAAAGAAATAATAGGTATTTAAATAAATTAGAAGTGCCATACAGCAAATTAAGATTGGTTTCGGATAGTCCTCATGCTATGACAATAAAAATCTATAATAATGTACCTAATAATATAAAGAACGTAGAAATATCAGCCAAATTTAACAATCAATTAAAATCATATTTAATCCAAAAATGTTTTTATAATTTAAAAGAATTTTTTGACGACAAATGTAATTGATTTTTAAAGTTGACATTTTCATTATTATTATTATTGCTTATTGACATTGTTAAATCTAGTTTATAAAATTGAATTGTTTGTTGTGTAAAAATTAAATTATTATTATTGTTGTTTATTGAAATTGTTAAATCTATTTTATTAAATATATTTGTTGTGTAAAAATGAAATGTGAACTAAGTATTATAATATAATTATTTAACAAGCCCTCTGGCTTGATATTTGCTATGCCCTTGCAGGGCGTCACATATTTACTTTACATAAATTAACGTACCACCATGAATGTTATGTGACATGCAATAAATGAATAAATGAATAAATAATATCGTAGTAATTCCATCTCAATATAAGGGCGTCTAAGTGTTGAAGAGCTGTCGATACTAAAAAGTGATAGAGCAACCAGTACGATTTATCTGACAGCTGGCTAAGGAGCTCGATGGCGCAGGTGAATAGCGCGTTCAGCCTGCGATCGTGGAAGTTAAGCAACTTTCGCAATGGTCGGTCATTGGATGGGTGAACAAAATTTTTTATCTCGTGCTCCTCCATGCTTCGAAAGGCACTTTAAGCCGTTTATCCCGGCTGAATCTGCAGTCGTTATCACCCACCAATCCGCACTAGGCCTGCGTGGTGGGTCATGGCCTAATCTCGATATTCCATTCATAAGGAAGACCTGTGCTTCAGCAAAGGGGACTTTAATAGGCTGGTGATGATGTTGATGGCTAATGCAAACTCTCTCCCCCTTATTCGCGAACTCGAGAGGTCCCGGATTCGACCCCGGTGGGGGCAGATGTTTGTGTGATGAATACGAGTATTTGTACTCCAGTCATGGATGTTTAATATGTATTTCCATACAAATATACTTATATGTATATTATGTATTCTATCTGTTACCCTAGTATCCCATAACACAAGCCTTACAGTGCTTACTTTGGGGCTAGGCTAATTGGTGTGTGGAAATATAAAAAAAAATGTTGTCTCTGTCATCTTTTTAACTAACAAAAATGACAGCATCACTTTTAGCCTAAGCTGAACTTTAGCCTACGATTTCTTATAAGGCGGTCTATGTCTACTGGTTCAAATAAAATAATACCTGGCCGCCAAATCATCCATGGAGCAAGTAAGGAGTTGGCTAAGTGTAATGTCGAATCGTCTAGCTGCGGGTAATGGAGGCGGGGCAGGTGTTAAATATTCGTCCTCGCTACTGTTCGTCGCCGCAGACGAGAGACGAGGCTTCACACTACGATCCGCCTATTGAGACAATATAACACGACAATCAATATACATCCTCATTAATATTCAAACTGATATCATAAATGGGAAAGTGAGTTTGTTTGTTACGCTTCGACGTCAAAACCACTAAACGGATTTGGATGAAATTTAATGCACATATAGTTTATAACCTGGATTTATAACATGGACAAAGGATACTTTTTATCCCGGAAAACTGTTAGGTTCCTACGGGATTTTCAAAAAAACTAAAGTTAACGCGATCGAAGTCGCAGGCAGGATGTATATCTATCATCTACTGAGATGTAGACATTATTAAGTATAGTGGGCAAGAGCCGAGGCGGCAAACAACGATCAGTGACTCACCATTGGCTCCTTCTTTCTAGCGGGGCGTGGTAGTGGCGGTCCTTCAGGTCTTGGTTCGTCATCATGCGGTGGGCGGGGCGGAGGGCGGGTAACTCCTTCATTAGGTTTCTTGGGAGGAAGCGGGGGCGGAGGCGATCCGCCTTCCACTACCCGAGAGCTGGGCGTAGGCCGCTGACGTATTGAACTGTTGTCTGTACCCTGACGGACACATTGTGGTTACGTTAGATCGAAATCAGCTCGTATTGCTGTTCGATTTTACTTAATCAAGAGTCTTATATGCGATTATGGGGATGTGGTTACGACCGACGGGATTTTGTTACTTTAACATTGTTAATGTATTGTTGAATTTTATTATCACATAGGTATTTTACAAAGTTAAAGATTTTGAGGATTGAATAATAACAGAAAATATTGTATCAAGGGAAGGATCATCCGTGCATTGATGTGTTTAACAAATAAATTCATGTACCTGACGCTGCAATCTGGGTGATTTTGACGAAGGCTCTGGCGGCAGAGTAACTTGCAGTGGTCCGTTGAATACGTTGTTCCCGCCCTCTCCGCTCTTGTCTACTTCCGGCTTATCCAGTGTCAATTCTCTTGCTAACTTGTTCTTTAACTCATCTACTCGCAACGCGCTCGCCTTTGGAAACTCCTGCATACTCGTGAACGGGTCGTCTTTGAACGAATCCGAGAATGGGTCCGTGTTGTCAAACGGATCTGTCTCCGCGAACGGATCGGCCGCGAACAAGTTCCCTGTGAACATCGCGGCCTGCGGCGGCGGTTTCGCTATCGATACCGTCCCGCCCGAATGTCGCGAGAGTGACGTCATCGTGGTCGCCGTACCGTAGTCGGGTTTAGACTCGGTGGCGACCACCGGCAGTATGTCGGTAAGGAGCGTCTGACTCTGAGTGCTGGTCGGAACGAGGTCTTTGAGCACTTTCTTTGGCGGATTTTTGAGCTCCTGAAAGAAGAGTTTTTTGTCAACGTAAGGTTTACTGCGGCCGGTGCCGAGGGGGTCTAGTTCCGTGAAAACGTCGTAACTGAGCGACGACGTCGCCGACGGGGCGGGCTGGCTCACCTGGAACAGTCAGTCACCATGAGACTAGATAACTTGCTCGCAACCAATCATGACACTTATCACAAAGTACCAAATATCGATTATAAACATTGAAATTCATTTAGAAGTATAATTTCTGTTACATACCAACAGAAAACTAAAGCACAACATATTTGTCTCATTCGATTCTAAGGGTCGGTAGCATGCTCAGAGAAAGTGCACAGATATAAAGCACATAATATGAAACTGAAATAATAGTTGGTACAACAACAATAAGCCAATGTGTCATGTCTGCAAACATTTATTTAGTCTTATGGCAATTGATACCCAACTCTAGAGCCGAAACGCAACACTAAATACAGGAAGCCAAACGCCACATACACGAAGGATTCGATTGGGATGTTTATTCCATATACCTAATACTTACAAAATAAAAATACACATGCGTTGGATAGAGGACTGCCTCAGCAAATATACATCAGTAGATGTAGACATTCTTTGGTATAGACAGTGGCAACAAATACATACATAGCTGGAAAATAATACAAAAGGAGATTGAACAAAAATGTATGGACGCTGCACCCAAGTCCGCCACGGCTTAAACTACATTTGTTTGGAAGGTATTATAGTCATGATCATCTATGCCAAAGCGCATAAAATTACATACCCGAGGGTATTTAGTTATTTTAAGTTAAATAGGTAATAGTACTTTAACGAACGAACATTAATGCAACAAGGGAATTAATTTACTTAATTAGCTCAACCCTATACAGAGGGCTCAGGTATTATGGGAGTATTTAACAATGTGAAAGACCCTTACATTATTAACGTTTACCCCTTACGTTATTCTGCCGCGCAAAAGTAAATCCCCTCTTGGGTGGGTTTTTTTAATCAGTCTGTTCGTTATTCTGTTATTAATTGTCTTCTACGTAAAACGGAGCGACCACAAATCAATCACACAAATTTGTCCACGCCTCGGAGAAAACATGATTGCATTCATCTATACTAATTCAAAAAACCGATAATCGTATTCCAATGTCCAAAGCGTGTTAGTTAAAAATCAATCAAGTGACAGGGAGCGCTCAATCAAAACTAAGTAAGACGAAGGGCTGCATATGAGTCGACTAGTTGCAACTACAAGTACTTCAATCCCCGTAACCCCGTAAACCGTTTTGCTGTGTCTCAGTAAGTGCAGCGCAGGATAGTCAGGCTTTGTCGTATATCTGGTCGTATAGTACGATACGGCACATTATTATGGTTACTAATAATATAAAATGAAGGTACTTTAAAATAAATTTATTAAGCTATTTAAGTATGACCATGTGTCATATCTTTCGATTAACAGGATATTATTTTACGGTGTCATAATAAAAAGGTAATTTTTTAATAAATCTTTCGATTCATACTAATTACATTGTTGGCGGAGCTGGGTGTTTTTTACCCATGTCCTCTACTATAATTGTCAACAAACAAGTAAGTACCTATATATTATATTTTTAACTGAAGGTTTACAACAGAAGCTAAACAAAGAACACAGTCAAATTACATATTTGTGCAAACAAATAACAGCATGAATGAAGGCTGCGAGGTCAAAGATAACATGTAAGCAGCCAAAAGGGATGATGACAGGGTAAAATAAATAAAACTCTATTTAATCCGTCAAATATATCAACAAAAAAATAATGGACAAGAATTACAAAGATAAACCGCGTCAAAGTTTGGGAATGGCGTCTCATGACGTCATTTCTAAGTAAAAATTTAACCAAGACATAACCTCATACGACATTTCAAATCAATCTATCTCTGTATAGTTTTGATTATATGAATGAAGAAAATATACATGTCCAATACTGTTTATCATCATCCCTATTAAGATATCTTATTTAAATTTTCACATCAAATTTGGGTCTTCAACTTAATTAAAATTAGAAATTTATATTTTATCTATCTTAGTATTACATTTGGAATAAAGTGAAGTGAAAGTTTTCTCGTTCGTTTTGTCCAATCGTCGCATCATACCTATCTGATAGACAGAAAGATAGACGTTTTCAAGTTAAGCTGGGTGCAGCAAGATCTAAGCCACTAGATTTCAGTCTGTACACCAATCGTTAAAAAAGTAATCTTTGATAGATCTGTATACGACATTGCATAATTATAACACGTACTCTTCATCTCGGAGGCCCAAGCACAAACTTTCGGCAGCTCCACATTCGTATCATCAACGTCAAATTTGTATATTCCTTCCATCCGGCCAGTTTATTCTTACGTCCGGTAGGGGCGCTGCTTATTTTTCATAGAAACTTTGTCGATGCGATTCAATTACGGAGCTGTCAAAGTTAGTACTTGGGCCTCTGATCTCAACGTATAAAGAATTTCATAATTTTCTATACCTTAAACAGTCGAAGACCCAATAAACTTCTATAATTCGTGATTTGTAATCGACCGAGAGTTTAGACATTATCGTATAATATTTGTGATTACAGTATCGTTCAATAGATCAATCTCGTAGTGGATGCGTGCACTTGATTGATTAATGAATAACAAATCGCTCGTCTTGCTAAAGAGCAGGCAGAACTCTGATCTATCGATTGACTATTTACGGCCAGTTTCAATAATCAACCTCCAATAAAAGGTATGGATAATCGGGCACCGGCTGTTATTATATATGAGTTTTAATAATAAAACTATTTTAGCAACAAATAGCTCGAGTAGGTCTACCGCTCACTAAAGTTTGTTTATTGAAACTGGCAGTTTGTTTTTATAGTTCGCACATTCCAGTATGGTATCTTAGACAGTTCAATATGTCGTGTTATGATTTGAAAAAAATCCTAGTGTGCTCACTACCTTATACTTATGAATAGGGAAGATGCAATATTTTTATTTTTCTTTTCATTTTAAAGAATTCCATGTAGAATAAACCACAGATATATTAAAAAATTAAAACATTGTGATTTATCGGAAAACATGATAATTTAAATTAACAATTTAAATTTTCGCGCGAAAACGAACCTATGTTTGCGTACTTGTTCGTTGCTGGCTTTAAATTTTCATACTTTTGCATATGTTTTCGAATTTCGAAATATTTTTTTGAAAAATTTAAAATGGACTATCCATCAACATCATGTGATCATAACAATACCACTAATATTCCGAAAAAAAGCCGTGTTGACTCATGTTTTGTGCCAATCTACTTCAGTTCCCAAATAAATTGTTTTTGACTGGAAATTCTGACCCAAAACTGAAAAAAAAGTGGTTTCAAGCTGCGAAGAGAAATGACAATTATTCTCCAAAGACCATTATTCGATGCTGAGAAGATCACTTTGACGTAAGTCGGCGAATATACTTGTTATATGCTTAATTAATCTGCTTGTACATAAAAACGCCTTAGTAACCTACCTAATACTTACAAAACCTGTCTATAACATATTTTGAATTTTACAGTTGGAGAATGACGTCGAAAATTAGATAAAGTTTAAAATGTGTGGCACAATCTTCACATTGGCAGGCGGCAGGACTGAACCAAGCTTTGCGTTTCATTTAAAATAACTGTAACACGATGACCTTCTTTACGTACTTTATGCTCCGGAGAACTCGACCTTTTACTGTACATAATTTTCCATCTCTTTTAATTTGGACATAGCCGATTGCATTATAGTCGTAAGATTTGTAGAAGCCGCTGAATAAAATACGAAGTTTAACAACTACGATTTTTTCATATCGTAGTAATTTAGTCCCTTTCATTTCTACACTTAAAAACTCTGCACTTTGGACAAAAAAAGTTATAACCATGTCAACGCTAACTCTTGGTAAATTCCTGGAGTCTGCTTTGACAAACGCAACTTCCATTTTTATTAAATGTAAAAAAACGCAATAAATATTCCCGTAAAATAATATTTACTTTAACAACCATACCCTCAAAGTAGTTGTCATAACAGGAGTGACGTCACTAAACGCTGATTGGTGTTTTAAAATACGTTCCGTTTCAAGTATTTTTAATTAGTAATAATTGTTAAAAAACAACATCATGTAAAATAAAAACGTTGCAGTGGCATTTGTTTTATATTTTTTTAACATTTTAATCATAAAATTTCATATATATTATATATGCATCTTCCCTATTATTGTCCAGCTCAGAATGACCGAACTACCAATCGATTAAAAATCACAAGTACGCAGAGAATATTATATAATGAACTTCTAAACTTTTTTTTACTTCTTATATATATCTAATGGAAGGGGATCTGTGTTAATGTCTGAGTATTCGTCTTTCATTGACACATGCGAACATCAAAAATAGGTACTTCTTACAAACTAGGCAAGGTGGCCGTTATCAAGAGCATTAACATCACAACTGATGAAACAAATGGTTTATTAAAATTATATATTTTGTAGGAGAAGAGAAGTTAAATGGTATTTTCCCCAGACTATTTTACAGTTTGACTTAACAACAGCCGAGGAAAAATTATTATCCAAAGGTTGTGTTTACCACAAAAAAGTTTAATATCATATGAAAATACGTAAACAGTCGAAGAGTGGATAATCGTAAATGTCATTGCCCATGATGACCAGACAGTATAGAGATACACTAAAGGTGCGATTACATGGACAATTTAACAATATTTAAGGAATTTTAGTATGTACTATGCTTTTGTATGAACTAATTTGTAGAAAAAACTATCCATGTAATTTCGCGTTTACATGCAAGATTAGCACCAAGCGTCGACGAAATAGAACCGACGCGAGATAAAATCACAATATACATCATGATTCTGCAATCTTTAAACACGATAAGGTAAAATACACGATAAAGAAAAGATATCGTCTATATAGGTAATGAACCTGACTTTTAATATGTTGACGTCAAAGCGACCTAATCTCGCGTCATTAAAAACTCAGTACGTTAAAGAATACAAGTTATTTTATTTGCGGCTGACATCACAGCCAGCTAGGTTCTATCAAAATTGGTAGGATAAACCGTCTATTTAACTGAACTGTAGAGCTGCGTATACGCTAGACGAGCCGAGCACGAGCGGAGCGCAAGCCGAGCCGCTCGCTCGCAGTGTCAAGTGTGGACGTGCCACGAGCTTACAACAATCACTCTCCTCGAGCGCACTGCAAGCGTTATGCAAATTCCTTCCTGTTCGTCAAAAAACCGACAACGTGCCGAGCACGGTCGAGCACGAGCCGAACGCTCGAAGTGCGCTCGTTCGAGGCTCGTAAGCCGGTCCACACAACACGAATTTCGGCTCCGCTCATGCTCGGCTCGTCTAGCGTAGACGCAGCTTTATATTCACTAGAACTCACCGGTGGCTCAGGCAAGTTATCGACGAGCGAGGTCGACGCGGGTTCGAAGTCTGCGCCTACAGTGGCAAGGTCGAATGGCAAGGAAGCGGCGGTCTTGCTCGGACTGAACACCGTCCGATTGGTGGCGGGGGTGTTGCGGCCGCGACTTGAAGCGCCAGATGGCGGTGGCGGTAACAGACCCTTCTGGAATCAAGGAAATAATTTTTGATGTGTAACATCTTTCCTCTCGCTTTCGTGCAATTTGTGGGGGTGATTACGTGAAGTGGGACGGAAGTGTGTAACAGATTTGGAAAGCGCGCGCTATTCGATTTGATTTTAGAACATAATGGTCAAATAGCTTATTCCTTTTGTAGTAGGTTTTATTTCTTTTTTTACTTATATAAGGTGCGGTTTCAAATGTTACACATCATACGCGACTACTGTAAAGCTCTTTCGTTTTTTTAGAACACTGTATACTTAAAACTGATACTAGAGTGCGATAAAAACTTTGTGGAGGTTACTTTATCTAATTTCAAACACGCTATTAAGGCTAGCGACGAATTGATTCGCATTGTACTGTTCTATCTGCCATTATTGTCTTTTATAGTAAGTAATTTAGAGGCGATGGTTTTGCTCTGATTGGTGGCGGGAGTGTTGCGGCCGTGACTCGAAGCGCCGAAATGTGGCGGCGACAATAGACCCTTCTGGAATCAACCAGAAGTGATACTATTATTCTATCTGACATTACTTTCTCATATAGTAAGTTTTGCTCGGACTGAACCCCGACCGATTGGTCGCGGCCATGTTCTGAAATCAACCAGAAGTAATACTACCACAGAACAGAGAAATAGGTTAGAAAGGCCTTGTGGGCGGGGCAGGCGCTCCACAGTTATGAGCAAATACTCATACTTGACATGTACTTGCGATCCCGTCGTTTAGTTGCTCTCGAACCCTTGGTGATTGTATTATGATAAACGCTTAAATATATATGCCTTCTTATGCTGTAATTACTTACAAAGTTAGGATTCAAGTATCAAATCTACCTAAAGGAGGACTTTCTTTGCATCGGTAAATATCAAAGTTCTTATTTACACTGATATTCCAGCCAAAATTCGATGAATATTACCAAAACGATAAATCACATATTAGTTTTCAATAAAAATATTCATTGCTGACGACAACGTACGTTAGCGATTCTTTCTCCTACATTCAAAATACATAATGTACGATGAATCGTGGGAGAACGTCGCGGAGAAAAAAGAGCGCTGCACGCAGTAGAAGGTCAGTGCCCGGAGTACAAGTATTTAAGTGGAGTCTTGCGTTGTACACTTTTTATTATCGATTGATTTTATCGATATCGTTTTTACAGTTAAATGCTTAAAAATACATAAACATACGTTGTTTTAAGGCCAATAAATAAGTATCTGCACTCAAATGTTTTAATTTTAATATTTTTTGTGTAATTGATTGGCAAATAATTTTCAAAATTGTAACTTTTAAACTATAGATTTTCGCGGAAGTGATGTTTGTCGTTGTCAGGATACACAATTCTCAATCGCATATTTCATATCGATAATATTTCATCGACTGTCATGTCAACCACTAGGGCAATCCATCGAACGAATCAGAGCTCAGGCCGACTGGTGTGACCGCTGATTCGTTCGATTGTTTAATGTTGCGTTCATTGATTGGTTTAAGATCTATTAGGTGGAAGTGAAGTGGGGGCGAGCCGGCGACATCGGTTCTCAGTCAAGCGGTCTCTTATCACCCTTCTTACCTCTTTCTATGTTCTGTGGATACTACTATTCTTTTTGTCATTAAAGTATCTAAAAGGAAGTTGATTTAGACGCGGCGGTTTTGCTGACTGAACTGACTGAACCGCGTCAGATTGGTGGCGTGCGTATTGTAACTAGAAGCGCCGGATGGTGGCGCCTGTAATAGACCATTCTGGAATCAACCAGAAGTTATTCTACTATTGTATCAGACATTACTTATACTAAGTTTGCTCGGACTGAACAACGATCGATTGGTCGCGGCCATGTTCTGGAATACCTGTGATTGTGCAGGCATTATAAAGGAGTCTCCGAAGGCGTCGTTAAGAGACTGTGGTTCAAAGCAGCTCTTCTTGAAGATTGACTAACTCTCTCTTACTTATCGTATTAAGCTCTTTCAATGTAGCATGACTCTATACTCCCATTCATCACAGACTCGACATACCTGTGACTGTGCGGGCATTATGAAGGAGTCTCCGAAGGGGTCGGTAGATGGCGTCAGTCCCTCCACTTGAGTCAGACCGCGTCGCAACGAGCTTAACTCTTGTTCCAGATCTACCAACTCCGCCACGCCTCCCTCGCCACTTATATCAGGCCCTTTCAATGAGGCAGCACTTGTTTCTCCCACTGACGACAGACTCTGTAAACAAGTATATCTGTATAGTACGTAATTTAAGATGGGGGAGAAAAAACGTGCTGCTTTGTCGACCCAATCCCAATTATTTTATCCCGTCCATCTCTGAAAATTCTTATCACTGGGATCGTGGCACTGCCGCACTGGGTAACAGTGCTGAAATATCTAGGAAAAATGGGTCATGGTTAATCACTGTAATCTTAATCACTGCAACAACTAAGCTGTAACAAGGGTACATTCTGTTAGAATGTAGGTTGCTTCTTTCTTTCTTTATTTTCAACTTCTCCAGGCGATGTTTTGATTCGAACTGGATGACGCTGTACACTAGCTCTCTCTTTCTTATACTATTTGTAAGGGAAATGCAAATACCTACTAGCAGTGAATCAATTCGTACTGTAGCACTTTTTTTGGTAATCAACCCAAAACATATTGTGAAACTAAAGTTTTCTAAGTCTCAATCCAGGAAATGCTGCTTGTATGCCAATTAATCCGAATATAGACGTAATTATGCCTGACTGCAGCGCCACCTACCGAGTAGATTTTCATAAAAACTTTTAACCACCGTTTTTCGCTTTTCAAGTTATATTTTTGCGAGGAGTTACATAGATATCTCTCTGAGATACCGTTTATCTCCATTCCAAAATTAATCAAAATCGGTACAGATGACGCAAGCAAGACTAAGATGAAACAGCATACTCTTAGTTGAAGATTTCTTTAAATAGCTATGACATTCGAGCAACACCGCAACATTAATTTTAATTCAAGAGACATTTTAAAGTCGCCCTAAGTTCAAATCAATTGTATCATTTAATCCAACAACATTAAGGATGTAGTTAATATGATTGCTCATAATATATCACACAGCAAGTAAAAATAGTAAATTTAAAAACACATTTTAGCAAATGTGACCTTAAGCGATTAACTCTTGCACCACTAGAAGTAAATAAGACAATAATATTTTGTTATAAGATTTTGATGAACTTCTATTATTAAGATCTAGACAGATACATCAAAATTTGAAATTAAATAAGCCGGTCACCTGTGCAGGTTGTAACCAAGCACTCCCAAAAAGAGAATTTCTGATTTGCTCTTTATGTTCCAACGCATACGATTTACAGTGTGCCAATGTATCTATCTAGTCAGCGTTTCTATAACTTAGTAACGGGTGAACACAGAAAACAATGAAAGTACCAGGCATGCTATTGTAAAATTCCGAAATGTGATATCATAAATGCACCAGTGCGCTCAGGAGAGAACAGCTGTTTTATTCAGGAAAATTCTTCACCAATGGACGACACAAGTACCACTTTAAGAAAACGGCCAACACAATCTATAAATAATGCATCATTTTCACAGGATGTGATATCATGATACTGGAACTTTAACAGATGAAACAACTCATTTATTTTTTTGTTTTTTATTAAATTTATTGTGATTGTGATGAGTGAGTCTTTTTAAGTATAATTTAAGATGTTTTTTGAGATAATTTGCCAAGGTACAAAATTGGGCAAAAATCAAAGGTGTCCTTTAATAGTAATGGAAAATGGTTTAAATGATTTTTTTTCGACTTAGGGTGCATTGCGGAAATGAGATATAAAGATTTATTTTTTTCTTAAAACAAATTCTTTAACACTTTTGTTTGGTAACCATATAACTTATTCGTTTGGTATAACGATATAACTTAATATCTTTGTTTGCATTATATATATGATATAACTATAAAATATTTTAATGTTTAGTTAAAATCTCTGCTATAGTGATGTTAATAAATCATATAAAGATCTTACACCATTTAAAGTTTTCACTAACAGTTTTGACGGTATAAACCACGTCCACATATCGCGAGAAACGATAGGATGTGAAAAGTCTCTTGTTTTGGCAAATGTGTCCGAATAGCTTTGGAAAACGAAGAAGTATTTTGCTATGCGAACGCGGGGGCCGACAGTTCAAATGTTTGTTGACATAACAGTGAGCAATACGATGTGGTGTCACGCGCCAGTTGCCGAACACAAACATCGCAAATGACTTATACAGACGTGACGTCATAGCAAGTCGTGCTCACAATGTAATGCTATGAAATGAAATCCTTTCAGTCCAGTATTGCTATCGGATTAAAAGTTTTGCCATACTGATTCACTTCCAAACATAATGGTCTGGATCAATACACCCCTGCTGTGTACAACAAAAAGTGCCTCTTTAGATAAATTAGAAAGTAAAATTTCGGAGCAACGCTCTTGTCGTTGCAGTCTATAAATCTCCCACTATTTCCCTCTGTCTTCCGCCAGCTCTTTAATCCCCCTGTACGACTCGACGCCAGCTTTCTCCTTGATTATGTTGTGTAGGCTACCCTCGGTCTTTCCTTTCCTTTCTTTCCTTCTATTTTTCCCTCAATGATGTTCTTGATAAATTCGTCGCGTCGCACCAGGTGGACGAACAAAGTTCTTCAAAATGTAACTTACTTTAGGTTTGGTCTCGGCAGACGCGATGGCCGCGTGCCTCACCAACGAGCTGGTGACCGTCTTGCCCTCCAGCTGCTGTTTCGCCATCTCCACCTCTTTCTTCTTCAACTCGAACACCACTTGGAACAAGTCCCTCATCGCTATCACTACCTGCAATGAAAATACCTACTTATACCAGAGCCAGGGCAGAGATTTGACGATATATTATTAAGATATATATATATATATATACTACTTAAAACTTCATCATTAATCTATTATTCTCATTGGCGGGAGACGTAGGGTGAGGCTACTGCGCAAACATGCGCCAATTTCTCTCATCGCTTAAAATACATGCCGCGACTTGTAATGCCATTTTGCCCCGACTGACTTTGATTACCGCTTGTTAACTGATTAATTGTTACTTAAAAGAAAAATAAAACATAGTCAAACACTACAGGATTAGGATGACATGACAGCAAATTGTGTAGTAATTACAGAATTTTTAATTTTTTACCACAGAATGTCCGTTTACTATGATTAATTGCTATTAATTAATGTACGAAAATAATATGTTATGGCGAAAACATGTAATGTGGTATGACGACACAGTGTCGTTAACACTGTGTCGTCATAACACAGCCCCTTCCTCGTGTGACGCAGTTTTCTATCCAAGTCTTTCGTAAGCGAGTGTGTGATAAAGAAAGTGCTCCACTAACTCGCCGCCATGGATAGGAAATACCTGTACCTGTGCCTAGTGTATCCGGTATAAAATACAGTAATACCACCTAATTTTCATTTACTGCGCCGCAACTTGCGCTTTCTTCACAGACGCCATTAAGTTTGAATCACATCAGTACACCGTCTCAGTCCTATTTACATTTTTTTTATGTTAAAAGGGTGGCAAACACGCATATAGCCCTCCTGATGGTAAGCGGCCACCATAGCCTATAGACGTTACCAAAAATAAAACCCGCGCCTTTGCCTACCCTGACCCAAATTCCCTACCACGTAAAGACCTAGAACCATACTCACCGACAGAAACACATATCCACCAAAAGGCACAGTTATTTTACTGTTGACTTCTTTAAGGTGGAGGTTACTTCCCCAGACGGGCGCATCAATTCGAGCGGTAAATCTGCTATGCCCTACCTCTCTTATTTGACTAGCTACTTACTTGACTAGCTGCTTTATCAGTCTTAATGCCAAAAAATCTGTGGCCAGTATCCGGTGAGCCGAATATGTAGCCAAAGGCGCGCGAATCTGTCATGTCTTGCGCGATGAACGATATCTTATGTACAGGGTGGTGGTACAAAGAGTCCTGGAAGAAAAATTACTATTGTTTATACAGTTAATGTAATTTGATAGCATTGGGAGCTAAGAAACACAATTTTCATTGCATTCTTGCTTGCTACGAGTTTTTTGGTAATTAGACTGCATACGAATGCTGCGCTCAGTTTACTAGTAAAGTTACTTAGCGGAGAGAAACTAGGTTCGTTTGGAATGGGACAGGATTTAGGAATGAATGTGAGCTACTACTCCGTTATTAGTAGAATTAACTGGCTTGTCCCATCCTGTATACTAGTACGTGTTACTTGGTCAAATTATAGGAAATAATTCCTACTTCACCTAATGTTAAGTGTAAATGTAATCCAGGGGTAAGGATAGCTAGCAGCAGACTTGCTTGTGTCACTAACTGTTCTCCTATCCTTACCTACCAAATCTGCACTGCAAAATGCTTTTCGTGAGTCTTTCGCAAAACCGCATTTTGTGAGAAATTAAACTCAACACTGATATGGATTAGATAGGTCACATTTTTCATTCAAATCCTTTGCGTTCAGAAACCCAACCCACTTTTGCCAACTGTGGAGTATTTACTCGAGAAGCATTGTGTATATTAGTTATACTACTGTATATTCATAAATATGTCCTTTAATAACGCACTTCCAGTGCTACGCGTCCGTCGGTGCATTGACAATCCCGTGAGGTGTTTTGTTTCGTTATTTCAAAACTGTAAATTTTCGTATAAAGTTGTATAATGTAAAATTAGACGGAATCATTATAGGAGTTATGTTCAATTCAGCCAATTCTGCATATAAAAACGTTCATACCGCTTTCCGCGGTCGCGATTCTAATGAAATTTATTACGAATGTTAATGCAAGATATGTTATTGAAAACTAACTAGTTTTGTCATTGGTACACACCGCTCTTAGTACAACGTAGGTATAAAATAAATGAGGATGGGTAGAAATTAGACTTGCAACGAATATTCGGTTACTATTCGGTATTCGGCCTATTCGGCTGCTTTTATTATATATCTACATATTATTCGGCCGAATACGGAATACTTAAATAATATATTTTGTCATAGAGAAATAATTGGTAAAATGAAAAATTAAAATCGATTGATTACGTATATATTCATATTTTCATTTCTGTTACACAAATCATTTAAGTAGTCATTGGTACATAACAACGGTACATAATCATCATCTGAATTGGAAAAATGGACGATTCTATGTATTTGAATTATTGTGGTAATCAAAATTTAGAAGGGTAAGGTTCTCATTTCTTTTATTATCATTTATTAAGTAGTCATTGGTACATAAAACAGGTACATAATTTAATCATTTTCTGTATTAAACAAGTTAACAGTTTTTAATTCATTCAGTCATGTGATGAATGGTTACATAATAGCAATAATTTAAAGTTTACGCGCCGTTTTTGGCCATATCTCAAAAGTTGGTTTTGTCATTTAGCCGCATTTTAGATTGAGGACGGCAGATAAGAACAAAACAAAGGAGCGCGTAACAATCATGTCTGTACAAGTTTTTGGCGCTAAAATCTAGCCGAATACTTTTGCCTAATATTCGGCTTTTCGGTCAGGGGCCTCGCCGAATATTCAGTATTCGGTATACTGCCGAATATACTATGCGTTGCAAGTCTAGTAGAAATAATATAGAAAGGGAAAAATGGGTTGAAAGGTACTTCATTAGACCGAGATTGACAGTGAAGTGTCACAAAATTAGATAAGGTTGGTGTTGTAAAGCCTGCGCAGACGAGGGACGTTTGTTCGTAGAAGAGAAAAAATCCTGAATCGAGAAATAAATGTCCGCCGAGGACATGCCGCGGACTCGCGGTCTCAACGCACACGGTGTGCGAACATTTGTTGCCCGGTAATTTAGAGAACCGCACAATAAGGAAGTTAATATTCCGAGATGACGATCAAAAAGAAATGATGTTTAAAAGAGAATAGGTACTGTGTCCATCAATTTATTCCCTATAGCGCGACGCAGACTAAAGTTCCTGTGTGTGCTGCTGCGCCTAGTTACATGAGGTTCCTTTTTTTTCGGGGACTCTCCGTATTTTTCTCCAGTCCAATCTCTCTTCAGGATCAGATCTAGTTCAGGGTACTTTTTGTACGCGGTACTTTTAATTCCTCGTGTGCGGTACTCGATGCAGTTGCAAGCGTTCTATTTTGGCGGACAAAAAAGTCCGCAGACAATAGTCCCTCGTCTGCGCAGGACATAAAGCGCGAGCGAAGCGAGCATACTTCGAAGCCGGCGAAGCTCCAAAAATAATTTCGTTATCAGAGACCTTTTTAACAAAAATAATATAGTAGTACATACATTTGTATGTGCATTTTCATAACACACACATAGGGTTACCATCCGTCCGGATTAGTCCCGACATGTCCGTACTTTTAGACTATAGTCCAGACTTTGTCCGGATTTTATAAATTACATTTAATATAAATAATAAATATCCATATGATTTCAATACCATACCATTGTAACTAACTAAGTAATTGTACCATTCTGTAAATAAAAAGTCCGGTCTTTTTTCGAAATATCAGGATTTATGTCAGGACTTTTGAAATTCCTAAAAGGTAACCTACACACACATTACATTATTTGTGAACACTCCACAGGCATAGATTGGAATTACACTCCTTTTTGGCAGTCTTATATTTGATGACGGAGGAAAAGATAGTCTGAGTGAACGTAAGTAAACAAGTGAAGACTGATCGATATGGGTCATAAAGGCACGTGGACGTTTAGTACAAGTTAGGTGGATGATAAAGAGACAGATTACTTACGCCCGTTTTATCATCGCGAAGTCTTAGCCCATCGATGGCGACGTGAACTTGTATCCTCTGCTTGTGTTCGCCAGCAGCTCGTATCGCCATCTTCAGGTCGGCGAGCGCTTCCTGGCACATGCGGTCGCCGCGCGCCTCCGGCACTTCCAAGACGCCGATCAGCTTCGCCCTGAACGACACCCCCTCGCCGAGGAAGCGACCCGGCTCGTTCTTGTCTGTACAGACAATAAACCATCCATCACTAGACTGTTAATGAAGCCTAATGTAGTTACACCATACGATTAATGCACACGGATGCAACGCTCTTTTGTTTAACACCATGATGCAATTCGTTAAGAATCATTGGCTCGTATTATTTGCAGTGTGACTAAAACATGTGACTTTATTATACTATGTTAATTGTTAGGTAACTCACAAGCGACTGGCGCCACAACGCAACGACTCAAAAACAAACCTTGAAGATTTCACATTAAAATGTATTATTGCAATTCACATTCCAACTACAAAGTAAAGAAGCGATTCTAAAACAAAAGGTATACAATTTGGCAAAAACTCAAAAACACATCACACGGCCATAAAAAAAGTTTGACGCGGCACCTTTGCCCAAAAGACTTTTTAATTCGGCTTTTTTCGGTGTCACTCTCATATTTGCCGCGACAATACCGCTAAACGCTGGAGTCGAGTGCAAAATAAAAGTGAACACAGTTGTCCTATTTCGGTCCCTGTTTACAGTGCATCATTGCTGGTTTAATTGAATTTCCTGTTTTCAAATTTAGAATCTCGGGAGGAGATGGGACTCTACTCTGTATACTATAATCCTCATTTTTAATTTTTCACTGCAAATATAGTCGTCCATAGAAAATTACTTGAACAGAGGAGAAACCTAAACTCCTAAGATGATGAAAAGTGCATAATATTAGTCACTGTTTATGCAATAATGTGAATTGCTAGTTAGTAAGAAGGATGCAATTAAGTACTATTTTTACAAGTTAATGAGCGGATTATCTAAGCACGGAGCAATGATCTACAGTTTATGGAGTAACAAAAACTAGTTAGATGAGAATTTTAATGGGATATATTAAATGTTGCGTCAGTCGATGGTTGCTGTTTTATAGTAATAGTTCATCTAGATCTAGGTAGACAGGAGCGTTTCGTACTGAGCGTATAAAAATTCAAAAGCGCAATAAACGAGATGCGTCAGAAATAAGCCAATTTGTATGTTTAAATACAAATATATATGTATGTACTTTTAGCTAGAATGCTACTTACATTAGAAAATATTTTAGCATATCCATTAAAGATTATTAATTACTGATTTTATTCATTTCTTTTACTAAGGCTGCTAATCCAGGGGTAAATGTAGCTAGCTACAGGTATGTTCTTAAATATTAATATTGAATAATCCAACCAAAAGGTAAATTAGGCGAAACTGTTTTAATCGTGGTTTCAAAAATAAATTCCCTGATAATATGGTTTTGTGCCTGCCTCTATTAAAATGTCTGAAATGGTATGCGTGGATGTCACCACGCGATTCAGTGGTCCCGAAATCCAGACCCATTTACCGTTCTGATAAATGAGTTTTCTTCTTGTCACGGAGGAGGTTGTGTTGCAGTACCTACTTAGTGTATAAATCTTTAACTGATGTGATGTCGTTACTTTGTTTAATTTACATATATCTTGTACTTACTACTGGTATCTTCTTTCACATTTTGATGAAACTTATCATGAAAGTAAACTTAGAGAGCAAATAATACTATGCTATCAGGCGATAAACAGAATCTTAGTAACACATGAAGCCATTCGGCGACAACGATCTTAAGAGCATTTCCAAATTTTATACAATTGCTAATTGTTCCTGCATTTGATTTTATTGTTTATACATACTGTAATATTATTGTTAATACATAAAAAACAGGGTAGAAACGTCTAAACTATACACTGAATATTTTATTAAAAGAATAATTTGGGTGTGATCTACAGTCGATACTAAAGAGAAAAATATAGTTTTTAGAATTTTTGTCTGTTTGTCTGTATGTATGTCCGGGATAAACTCAAAAAGTACTGCATGGATTTACTTCAAATTAGGCACGAATATTACTAAGAAGTCGGGTCGACATATAGGCTACATATTATCACGCTATCACCTACGGGGAACGAGCAGTGAACCTTTTTTTCTAACTAACTCCACGCGTACGAAGTCGCGGGCGGCCGCTAGTACTGAAATAAATCTTACTTTTGTTCGAGATTTATCGTTTGCTCATACGCAAAAGTAAGACAAGAATCGTCATAGAAAACATATTTTGACAAAATGACGACCTAGCAACGCAGTGAGATCGAATTGAGTTTCGTAGCCACTTATCCCTTTTCATTTCAACCGTAATCCATTTTGCAAAAGCATATCTGCCTACAGGCGAAATTCAATAAACCACGTTCTTATTCTATATCTGTTTAGAGTACATCTACTTAACATTAATTAACAGAATGAGGAGCTCATTATGATCATGAGGCAGGCAAGCAATCTCGCATGCGACACATACAAGCATGTTTAGGTTTCCTTAAGCAGGATACTCACCGAACTGGCGCAGGAGATGCTGGAAATGACACACCTGCATTATTCCCCGTTAAACCGACAAATACCAAGTAATGCCCCCCGCCGCGCCGCACCGTCTCGGCCTCACAATACACCCTCTGTCCAAAATACGAGGGGCACTAATTATGATATTATGGCACTAGCATGAATGACCGACGATGCTGGCTCGGAATGTTAATAGGGTGAACCTTATTGTCGATCCATGCATAAATTACAACAGCAAATTATAATAAAACTAAGATGCGATAACGTGGTCGATTTACATTGAGCGCTAGCTAGAACACCGCATGACCTTATGAGATGTAGTTCAAAAAAATGTACAAATATTTTAGGTGAAAAAGCTTGCTCGAGCTATACACGAGTCGAACTCACATTTGCAAGGGCTGGTTTTCTTACGGAGGGTTTGCATTGGAAAGTCAGATGGCAACTTGTGATTAAACATCGGGAACTTCTAGATTTCTTTCGGAATCACTGAAACGTAAATTCACTTATGGGATCAACTTCGTTGGAAGCGATTACACATCGCTGCCACTGCTCGTGGTAAAATCTTAAGTGCAATATTCGAGTTTCACTTAGAGATTTATTGATTTTTATGCCACCGTCCGCGATTCCGGTAGTAACTTACAGACGCATAGCGGATTATTTCTCGTGTCGTAAAAGCGTTGATTCGTGAAACTTTACGAGCTAGTTAAAAAACCGTTTAAGCATTTATTATAAGGGTTTCGAGAGTACAGGAGATTCCCGGTTACGGAGCTTCCAGCATGGAGCGCACGCATTCCACCTAGCGCGACCCGCACATGCCGGCTACTCGCTCGCGCCCTCTGAGCCCCCTCGCCCCGCACCCCGCACACCACCGACAAGGGTGCGCCGCACACACGCGCACTTACAACCCTTAATCAATATTCGCACCCATATCTGTGCAACTTTCCATCCACACAACATGCCTTGTATTCATTTTTTGAACTGTCAAAGTTCTTAATTTTTATATGCTGTTGGAGATAAGAAATTGCTTTTACCATTATAACAGTAGTTAACACAGTAAGTAAAATATTCGTCTAGTAAGTATTAAAAAAATATAAGTAATGGAATAGGATTATTAATAACAAACAATTTTTCCCAGTGCCCAATGCTTTTAAATTTTATATAACTTAACATAAAGTTAATTATTTTATACATTGACTTAATTAAGATTTTGCTTCGTCAAATACAAAAGATGTCTAATATCTTCACTGTAAATTATTTGTAGCTATTCACAATTTGTATACACTTTTGCTAATGAAGTTATAAATATTTTATAATTACACTTTTAGATACTTTCTAAAAATGTTTGGGAAAAGAGATAAAGGTATTAAAAAAATATATACAATTCTGTCAAATAAACCTCTTTTCTCATTTATAATACATTTCACTAACCTGTGATTTAATTCACTAAATGCCATGATTTGGCAGAATTCATTCTGCCATGATTCTCTAAACATAGAACTAAATTTAAAATCAGTCTCTCGTTTTCATTGAAGAACAACAAGGATATGCTGTTATGAAATTAAATTTTAGGTTTAGAGAATCATGCCACAAGCAACACCAATGAATATATAATCTTTAAAAATTAATTTTAAGGATGCAGTTTTATTATATAATATTGTTATAATATGTTACTCATGTTCATATAACTACTGGGTTCTAATAAGCTTAGTATGATTTAAATTAAAAGCATTACAACAACATTAAACAATACCATATATTTTTATAGAATTTATGGTTGTATGATTAGAAGATAACATCAGACAGATTATTTCATTTCAATATATAATAACAACAATATTTGTTTATAAAGTTCCTGATAACATATCTTTGTCTTATAATATTTTTAGTAGTATCTATAACAGTGTTTAATATTGAGTAGAGAGATAGTGAAGATAAAACTTTATGTAGAATCTCAGATATTGATGATTTATTGGAACTGCAATTGTTTCACATCACACTAATATTATAAAGGTGAAAGTTTGGGAGTGTGTATGTTTGTTACTTTTTCATGTCTAAACGGATGGAACGATTTTAATAAAATTTGGTATGGAGTTAGCTGACACCCTGGATTAACACATAGGCTATGTTTTACTGCGGGAAAATATCCCTAATAAATTGCGGGTAACACCTCAGGGCACACCTAGTTCAATATATGTGGGTTAGTTACTTGTGATTTATAAGAGCAATATATGTGATAATGGTACTTATAACATTCATATTAGTTTTTGTACTCACTTATAAAATGTTTTAAAGTAACTATTTTTATAAAATTCATCCATGTAAAGTAGGGTTGGGTTGCTAGTATTTTTATGATTTTCTTGAACATTTTTAACAGTATTCTGATAGCTTTAACCTAAATGCTAATACATGTATATGTATTTTAATTGTTTATGTTAGAAAAGTATATGTTAAGGTCTTCTTTTTCGGAATAGTAAATTATACTAAATGTCATGGTGAATTTTAAGTGATTGAGTGGAGTACAAAGTTAGCATATTTATGAGAAACAAGTCTGTATTCATATACACTCATATTATGCTTTGTTTTTCATAGTTGGTAGAATTATTACATAGCATTAGGACAAAAAAATCATTTTTAACCAAAATAACAAAAATACAAAAAAGAAAGCATGAAATTTGCGTCTTTACAGAATTTATCTTCAATACTTTTGGATAAGGTGACTAAAAATTATATCTATTGATTTATTCTAATTATTTCCCTGTAAATGATATTGATTGACAAATTATTAAAAAAGATAGTATATTTTAACCTTGTGTATTGATTAAAACCCTTTTGTGCCTACACTGTTCATAAGTTCTATAAATATTAATAACCTAAGCTTGAAAAAATAGAACAGGCTTTATGAATTTCATGATTTGAGGCTCAAGTGGTATTCACCTGATAAAACAACATTATTTTATTTAACTTCCTGTATCATGAACTACACTTTATATCCTTTACATATTGTAGAGAGAAATCTATTAAAGCCTACACAGTTTATATATATATATTGCCTAAGTTTAATAAACTAACTAATGCTCAAGTGATATACCGCCGATTGAATTACATTATTTACATGTGCTGTTGGCTGTATCACAAAATAACGTTGAAATTAATTACAAAAAATCTAACATACCTTTGTTAACTGCCATTAATTTAACATGAAGAGTACAAAATGTTCATTAAAATTCTTTCTAAATTTACAACAAAAAAAACTGGACAAACTTTATCCTCATTCATGTAGATTATTTACACTTATAATTGAGAATTTAAGCTACTTGGGATTTATTACTCAAATTAAAACATTTCAAAAATAATTCATGTTAAAGTAACTGTATAAGCCTATAATATTTACGAATTGTTTAAGCTAGACGTTCGTTATGGAACGAGCTGCGTTCCAAACCTATGCTGGCTGAACGCTCCAGCCTCCAGGTGCAAAAAACATCAAATTTGACATAAGTTTCATACATTTTATGTCGAAATTGAAACCTTAAGGTAAAAAGTTGCACTCGAGCATAGGTTTGGAACGCAGAACGAGACCATGCAGTGTCAGCTGAGTGACAGTGACAGTGCTGTCAGTTTCTCAAGGCTAAGAATACTCATTCCATAGAGGGTAAAGGATAGTTCTTCAAATTACATTCTTCTACTGATTCATCTGGCCATAGAATAATGGACGTTAGACTTGACAGTATATCTTAGTACTTTCTCCTGTCCCGATGGACGAAATTGTACTACTACTACCACAGACTTATCGGAAAAGCCAACCCGATACATTTCGTGCCACACACTTCAAGTAATTAGAATTTGTCACAGCGACATTCTCATATAAAAAAACGAAGATTATTTAATACAACTTAAGACTTGGCTGTATGGTCATTGTTACTTTTGCATTCCTTGAAAAGGGAGAATATTAAAAAAAAATACTACTACTAGTACTAGTAGTAATGTCGATTCCGGTCCGGCATGTTTTACTTGACATTGGGTACGGGTGCGGCCAGAGTGCACTCAGATTCAGATTCAGATTCAGATTCCGAAAACAAGCGCGAGAAATAAACAGTGTAGTCTAAGCAGGTTGCCTGCTTTTTCTCGCGCTTTGTTTTCTGAGTCTGAATCTGAATCAGGAGTGCACTCTGGCCGTACCCTTCGACTACACTGTTTATATCTCGCGCTTGTTTTCGGATTCAGATTCAGATTCTGAAAACAAGCGCGAGAAATAAACAGTGTAGTCTAAGCAGGTTGCCTGCTTTTTCTCGCGCTCTGTTTTCTGAGTCTGAATCTGAATCTGAATCAGGAGTGCACTCTGGCCGTACCCTTCGACTACACTGTTTATTTCTCGCACTTGTTTTCGGAATCTGAATCTGAATCTGAATCTGAGTGCACTCTGGCCGCACCCTATGGCTGGACGCATAAACCGTGATTTCCACAAAAAAGAATAAGAATATTCCGTCATGATTCTCTAAACTTAAAACTTAATTTAACATCAGTCTCTCCTTTTCACTCTGTATAAAGAATGACAAGGATACATTGGTGTCAATTCTGGCGTGATTATCTAAACTTAAAACTAAATTTAAGGCTCGCCTTTTCATTCTGTATAGAGAAGGACAAGGATGCACTGTTGTCAAATTTAAGTTTAGCTTTAGAGAATCATGCCAGAATCGACATCACTGTTGTCAAAGGTAGTTTTTCAATTACAGAGCATAATACGGCACAGTGGCGCACAATGCCGAATTATGCTGATGCTTAAACGCGCTACTGACATGCCTGCCGCAGGGACAATCTAGGGTGCGCGGCGGTCGGCCCAATATCGGCTTATCTCTACACATTTGCCTGCTATTCAGTGTTCGGGCGTATGTTGAACTAAACACACGCGTTGATGATGGTCCCAGTGTTATCAAAAAATGGTTGCCTGTAAAGTCGGTTTTACGGGCGAAGATTTTACGTGACAACGTCTTTTTCTCGGTAGAATATTTATTGATATGAATATAATTAAATTGCACAATAGGAACAAGGAATTGAATGAAAATAAGAATTGCACAAATTTTAACTATAGAAATATATTTTGTTTACTAAAACATTGTACATGTAAACTTAAACTTAACACGAGAGACTCATCGTAACGTTACCGAGCGTTACACTTTTTCATAAGTGACTCCCAGCCGCAACCTAATTTAAGACGTTGTCACGTCAAAAATATGTTACCGTAAAAAAGAAAATACTGGGTGAAGAATTGGCAACATAAAGAAATGTATTGTAAATAAGTAATGTTAAAGGCCGTATCGAAATCTTTCTAGCCTTTCTTAAGCTGCAAGGCAGCGCCATCTGTCGCGACGGCAACACCAGTCGCGATGTTTGAGGTGGCAACACATATCAATTGCCGTTATAATTCTAATGTCAAGTAAGCCGCGTTTTTTTCTCTTCTTCTTGTTTGTTGTGCTATCTTAACTAACATACTGTGATTACCTAGTACCTGTATTTAATAACTGTTATGTGCCATAAAAATGTGTCTACCTGATACGTGCCTATCTACGAGCTCGAGAACCAACGGAACATGACGAAAGCTAAGTAGTAGAATAGTTCACATAAATGATAGCCTGTTTGCATCTCATGAAAAGTTTGTATGTATGAAAATAAGCGCTTGCCTGCGTTCTTGATATTAGCCTATGTACCTGGGTATACCGGCACAGTAACTAGATACAGTTTGTCTATAAAGTCGTGACATGAATGTTTGAGGAACTAACATTATTCATGTGTCTGGCAACACCAAACTTATGTACATCAACTGTTATCGAGTTTCAGTTGTGGAACAGTTTTCCTTTTGTATTTTTTATTGTTTGGTTTAAACTGTAATAAATTAAGACGAAACTACGCAGTAAGGTATAAAAATGAGTAAAGTAAATCGGAGTGGCACGCGGGAAGTGATTTTTAAAGTTTTCCAGCGATGTTTCGAAGACTACCAAGCTGGACGAATTTTGTGGGATTTGGATGATGTTTATGGGCGAACAGCATCTATAACGGGTATGTAATCGTGTAACTATTTGTTTGTAATCTGCCTGAAGTTACAAATTAACTCAATTTACGATTTTGAGACCAAAAAAGGCATTAACTACATTGCACATTTTTAGGTTACATTGACATTTTAAATAGGTAATATTGTAGTACGACCATTTCTTTTGATACGTTATTATGGTTCAACTCGGTCAGGTTTTCTACCAATTTTGAATTAATTGCTTCATGTCAATAAGTTATTGTTTCTATTCCGTTACATATTTTTTTACTTTTTTTCAGGAAATTCAGAGAGTCGGATATTCAACGAAGGTTTTAAGAATGATGGAAAGTTTGAAACTCCTGGGAAAACAGGCAAGGCCGACCAAAGAAAGAAATGGTCACATAAAGAACCATGGCCAGATGCTTTTAGTGAAGATACCTATCACTAATTTTACTAACTGCACATTTACAAATTGTTTCTTTAAATAAACTTTTTGTATACTATAAAATGATATTTAATATTATTTTCTTAACAAGTGTGTTAAAAAACGTCGTATGATGATACTTGTGTGTATTCATGATATCCTAACGGCTCTGGTCTCAATGGCACCTCAGCGGTAATCACCAACGTTACACACTTTTACACTATAAAGTACTATTTGATCTATAATAATTTTATTCTGATTCAATTAAATATGCATGGCTAAACTTTTTATAAGCATAGGTACCTACTATATATAAAACAGAAACAAAATACGACTGTATAGTGTGTCTTATTAATTACCTATTTTACTTAAATGAACTGCTAGTATCAAAATCATTTGGGTCAGACTGTACAGGGTTGCTACATGCGTACTAGTGGCGCCATCATTTAATGTCACGACTTTATAGATAAACTGTACATCAGCTGTCATCGAGTTTCAGTTGTGGAACAGTTTTCCTTTTGTAGTTTTTATTGTTTGGATTAAACTGTAATAAATTTAGACGAAACTACGCAGAAAGGTATAAAAATGAGTAAAGTAAATCGGAGTGGCACGCGGGAAGTGATTTTTAAAGTTTTCCAGCGATGTTTCGAAGACTACCAAGCTGGACGAATTTTGTGGGATTTGGACGATATTTATGGGCGAACAGCATCTATGACGGGTATGTAATCGTGTAACAATTTGTTTGTAATCTGCCTGAAGTTACAAATTTACTCAATTTACGATTTTGAGACCAAAAAAGGCATTAACTACATTGCACATTTTTAGGTTACATTGACATTTTAAATAGGTAATATTGTAGTACGACCATTCCTTTTGATACGTTATTATGGTTCAACTCGGTCAGGTTTTCTACCAATATTGAATTAAATGCTTCATGTCAATAAGTTATTGTTTCTATTCCATTACATATTTTTTCACCTTTTTTCAGGAAAATTAGAGAGTCGGATAGTCAACGAAGGTTTTAAGAATGATGTAAAGTTTGAAACTCCTGGAAAAACAGGCAAGGCCAACCAAAGAAAGAAATGGTCATATAAAGATCCGTGGCCAGATGCTTTTAGTGACATTTACAAATTGTTTCTCTAAATAAACTTTTTATAAACTATAAAATGATTTTTAATATTATTTTCTTAACAAGTATGTTAAAAAACGTCGTATAATGATACTTGTGTGTATTGATGATTACCTAACGGCTCTGGTCTCAATGGCACCTCAGCGGTAATCACCAACATTACACACTTTTACACTATAAAATACTATTTTATCTATAATAATTTTATTCTGATTCAATTAAATTTGCATGGCTACACTTTTTATAAGCATAGGTACCTACTATACAGGGTGGCCGGGGAGTTGACGTTCAAGTGTAAAATTTAGATACTTTATGATGAGGAGTATCCAAATCACCCCCATGTATGTTCTACGATTGTGCGTAGTTTTCGAGTTATAATTTTTTTAATGATTTTGTTCGTAATTTTCACCTAACATCAGTTTTCGATTTTCTTCTCATTCTGTTGGACGTTTCTGGTACAGTTTTTTTGTGATAACTGACTAACATAGTCTAACCTAGCACGCTAAAACTTATAGTTTATCTAGGCATTGCAGAATTTACTTAGAATTTGTTCGAAAGTTCAAAATCACGATTTGAGCTCAGTACACACAAATTTTCAAAGTATCAAAACAACTGTCCTTCTTTCTTCTTAGTCGTTCACTCTTGTCAGAGTGGTCGTGGTCATGTGCCGGTCAGAATATTGCGCCACCGCTTCCTTCGTGATGCGACGCCATGTTGCTCTGTGTTTTGTAGAGTGGGAGTTGTCGTTGATGCTGGATCGTGTGACAGATTTGATGAGATCCGTCCACCGTGTAGGAGAGCGTCCACGTGATCTTTTGCCCTCGACTTTGCTTTGCACCACCAATAGTTCCATAGATTCCTCGTTACGGGTAATGTGCCCAAAGAACTTGAGGATACGTATTTGCACAGTCGACGATAACCTCTTTTTAATTTGGAGTTCTTTTAGAATCGAAACATTGGTTCGGTGCGCAGTCC